CGATGAAAGACGTCAGTGAAGGGACGGAGAAGAGATATTGCAAAACAATAAATGTGTATACGGAAAAAATGGTATCAAGTAAGATGGAATTCGAAATGTTGGGGGAAACAAACGACTAAAAAATGGAAAATCACATGAAAAATAGTTTCCTTGTAAATTAACTGTCCAACATTTTTCGTTGTCTCTTATCTGAGAGAAAAATGTGGTATTTTTTTATAACTTTTTTAGTTGCTATGAGCTATTATACTCTTTTCTCCAATTTCAATCTAATTATAATGTGGAACAATATATACAAAAAAGCATCAAAACAACAATTTTAGAAGACCAGCTGAAGTAAACATATATAAATAAAGCGACACATTAAAAAATGAAATATGAAAGAAACCACGAAATCATCACAATCTTTATGGTTACGTTACGCTACGTATTTTATAGTATCATATTTTCATTTTTTTTATCGAAAAACTTTTCATCATTCTGATGGTGTAAACAACAACAAATAAACTATTCATAAAAAACTTTATGTTGCAGTATTATTTGGAGGAAAATAAGAGCTACTCTTTCGCTGCAACGATTCATATTTAGTTCTTAAAAATAGTTTCAGAAAATGATTCTACGGTACGCTACGCTACTTTACCGTAAAATCTTTAAAAAGTCTTTACGATACGTTACTTTTCCCAATTTGAAATTTTAAAATACCATATTTTCGAAAAAAAAAACATCGAAAAATTCTCCTTGATTCGGAAAAAAGTCGGTGTGTGTCATAGGCCTTAGATAGAATGAAATTTTGCAGGAAATTCTTTCGATTTGCAAGAGTTTTTGAAGGTCTGAATCAAAAACCCCATATCAATTTTTGTATCGGAATCTTTTACACTAGATAGACTGAGATCCCCCGTCATTTATAGTCCATGTTCCTCTGGACTTACCAATGTGGAAACCTATGATTTCAAAAGCTCCAGATCAGCATAGAATAAAGATTTTTCTTGACTATCGATTCTTTTCACTTTTCCGAAATTTATTGATTACCGATAAACAAAACAAACAAACTATTGAAATGAAAAAGCTGATTCGTGGCGCAACATTTTTACTCTTTACTTGAAAAATATATTGAAGTAAATTATTTTTCGGAAAGAGCAGTGGAAAATTGTCTGCATTTTTCATACTTTCGAACCAACTGACACGGGATGATGGGTTGCATTTTTTTTTCGGGAGACGAATTACGAAAATTGTCATTTATGTATGCTGCAAAAAAAATCCAAAATCCATTAGCTTACTGATGTCGACAACAAGTGTTTCGTGTCAACATATCGGGACGCGTCACAATCCCGAAATGATTTGGGTTCGTGGAAAGATGCTTTTATATCAGCGCGACAATGTTATGTGTGTGTGACGACAATTTATCGGATGGTTTGGTTTTTATTGATGTAATATGTAGAAAATCTGAATCGCATTATGTTTTGTCGCCTTTACCATGCATATGCCACACACAAAAAAAAGTACCGCCACACACCACCAGCTGCGTTTTTATTTGGCTTCATTGTTGTTATTGTCGTTATTGCTGTTTATTATATCCATTTGAACACTATGGAAAAAGTGTTAACAATGTTCACAATGTGGTCGATGCGTGCCCTTTTTGTGTGTGCGTTCACAGTTCTGAAGTGGAATGAGTGTAATTTTCATGGGCGTTCCACAGCACTTTACACACATTCCTTGTACTATAATCATCAGAACCATATCAATTTCATATATGTAAAATCAGTGTAGAGCAGCCAATCTTTGTGGAAAAAAACACACAAGAAGCGGAAATTCCTATACACAACACATTCGTTTCGGTTGTCGTGATGGTATGGGATTTCTCGCATAATTCTTTTTTTTCTTCTCCGCTGTATTGGAATTTGTGATTGAAAGACTCAGCAAAGAGATTTATGATACAAAGAGTTGTATATATTTGGAAATATTGAAAGCTTTGCGCAAAAACGAAGGAAATTCCATGGCTCGGACATTTTTTTAAACCAGAAACACTGCATCGTTTTAAATATCTTTTAAACTAATATTATACATTAAAGCACTATCTGCATGCTAAAAATGTGGAATATTTATAGAAGAATTCTTACAAAAAAAATGTATTTCGCTGCTGAAGAATACTAATGCCTCAATATCTAAAGAACGAAGAAAGGTTCAAGAAATAAAGAAAAAAAATGGATGGAATTTCACTCTCATTATAAAACAACACAGAATACTGGATCCCTGGTATGGATAAGCATACCAATCGGAGCGGATAGATTCATCTGACGGTATTCCCTGCAAAATAAAAACGTAAAAAAATGAAAATTCCGAAAACCGAAAAAATGAAACAAAACACTATGTGAATATAGAAGAGGCCAGTACAGTTATTTCTTTATCAAATAACTTCTTTTATGATACTAAAATCATAGCAGCAAAATTCGCATAAAAACAGAATACATTGCATCCCGTGTGTGTTGTTAAATCACAAAATTTCATGATATCTTAAAAAGCCGTATCAATTCAATTGTTTTGAATAGCAAAATTCAACGCAAAAATCAATGAATCTATCAAATGATGGATGATGCGATGAATCGAAATTATTTGCGTCACTACAAGATGTGTTATGTTCTGCGAATCGGTTTTGTTGTGTTGGCCAAGTTATGAATAAACTAGTAAAATTATGTATATTTCTTCTTGCATTATGATTCGAAGTAACAGACCGATTGAAACAAAAATCCAAGAAATTCGATCACAATTTCCGCATAAGATAGAAAGCACAGTACTTTTGCTTAAATGAAAAGAATATGTAAAATGATAACATACTTCAACATATTCAAATGAAACGACGTCCTTATGCGCTGAATGTGATGATGTGAGAAAAGAATCGCCCAATGCAACATATCGGAATTCCATTTCAATTGGCTTCGTCATTTCGAAACGTTAAGAATATTGCATCTCATCAAGTTGAATTTAAATTTGTTGACGATATCCATTACTTTTCTGGTGCTGGTGCCAGAATGACGTATGTAAATATTCTCGTAATCAACAAACCAATTGCAATTGGTCCATGGATTTGTTTGCTCGCTTGTGTGGATGCATACCCACCTCCTTTTTAACTCCTTCTTACTTCCTTCGATAGAATATACATTTGAATTTGCACGTGCGTCGCATTATAAATGAGATAAATATGTGGAAAACGAAAATAAATAAGTGTAACGCAACGCAACATCTAATGTGAAAGTTATTTGGTTGTTCAGTATCTGAATGGGCATTTGGCGAATACGCTTTACGCATAAAGTCGTTTGGAATTGAATGATTTATGTCGTTCAAAATGATTGTTATTGTCTGCATTTTATTAATTCATCATTTTTTACAACTTTTTTTTTTATTTATATACTTTTTTTATAATTTATTATTGATGTTTTTCTATATAGAATATATGTATAATAAGATGTATGAGGGTACACAGTTAATGTAATAATATATAGTATTTGTTTTTTTTGTTGTTATCTGGTTGGTGTGTGTGCTTTCTCTCTGTCTTTTGTGATTGACATTAAAATCCATATTGGAAGATGACACCGCGCACATTATAAATTGTATGAGCTCAACGTGTTGTTGAATTTCGTACATTTCAGAAGAGAGTGACTTTTTTGAGAGACCGTCTTTACACCAACACTATTTCTCGTCACTTTTATACACAACTTTTATACTTGAATTTTATTCTGTGATCGTTACATTCAACTGAATTAGGCAAAAATTCATTTGTACTCAAAATGTGGAAAATGAACTTCTTCCACTTTTTATCAAGTTGTTCGATTTGCGAAAGTAATTTACAAATTCCAGAGTTCATGTTTCTTGTTGACACACATAAAACTACGTTGTTTATTCAACCATTCAACAAACTGAGTGACTTGATTGGGTAATTAGGAGAATTAAAAAATGTCTACCAAATACTGATGTAAAGTTGACATTGTACAAGGTCCCACAAAAATATTCCATTCTTTGTTAAATATTTCCAAAAATATGTTATTCTTACTGAACTCGCGCTGCAATTGAATGTAACGGTCCAAGAATCATTGTTTTTTTTTTTTTAATTTTATTAAATTAGAAAAGTTGGAATCCCTTTGAAGTTTTAAAATATGTGTCTACTTTTTTACTCTCATCCGATCTCCATTTCTTTCCTCATTCTCTTTGGCTCATTTGGCATACATATGTTCAAAAGACACACACTTTTCAGAATTAAAATCTAAATATTATTTATTTATATTAATACAAAAAAATTATTGTCACTGAGTTCCATTGTGTTAAGAAAATTCAAAATGGAATTGGAGCTCTTGTCTAATTCGGAGAAAAAATTTACAGATAATTATAGATTGAAAGTGGAGAAAGCAATCAAAAGCCAAAAGTGGTCAAAATGTTGAAACAAATGGCAATACATGAATGAAATGAACTCTTACCAAATGAAAATTACACTTTACATCTGGATGTAACAAAAATATATTCTCGATACATTGAATTCTATTGCCGGTAGTGAAGCGATTTAATTTTGAATTCAATAAGGACAGAAGTATATGGCTCAAAACCTAAATGAATGTACATATTTTTGTGATTTTGTCCAAGTACAAATCAATTGCTATAAAATCAAGCAATTTCAACGATTAGAGAAGTAAAATAGAGTTCTTGGAATAAAAATATATATTGTGATAAACTTTAAAACGACACTGAAATCACGTTGCTGATACATCGATTTTTTCTTGTCATAGATATTCTTCTGAGATTTACATTTATTTAAATTGGATGAGAAAGTTTGGTTTGCATTTTTTTTTTTTTGGTTCGTCTAATGTTTCTCTACATCTTATTTTCTTTGGCAAAAGGAACAGCAATTTCATTTTGAATATGTACGATGGGATGTGTATTTGGTTTGTTTGTTTTTTTTTTTCTTCTTCTTGCTATTATTATGGTTTTTGCATTGATTGTGTGTACAATTTTAATAATTTGTTTGTTTTTTTTTTCTCTTGTGATTTTGATTTCTCTTTAATTGAGATGCTCTTTATGCGAAACCATTGAGCCGTTTCGTCGAAAACGATCGAATTTCATATTTGATGACGGCGATCTTTTTTCATTGACGTCATCGTATTGTGCGTCATAGTCATTGGCACTGTTTACGTCATTGTTTGTGGTTATCCAGTCCAAATCGTTGCTTGTGTCGGCATTTGTATTGGTGGCGGCACTTGATTTTTGTTGTTGCTTACCTCGATACAATTTTTGCATTAACTGTTGCGATCGAGACGAAAGCAAATCATCCGAAGATGAGGCCGTGTTATGTAATTTACCATTCAAAATGGATTGGTCGGGCTTTTGCGTTCGATGTGTTCCGTGGCCATAGTTTAACAATACAAATCTCAATGGTTGCTTTTGACGTGTTTGTTGTTGTTGCTTGTATGATTTTCGCACACCATCATACGAATGCTCTACTTTGTCATCATAATCATCGCCAAATTCATCGTTATAGTCCTTAATCGGATCTGGCAACAAGCCAAAATCATTACCCCGCTTTTGAATCAATTTCAATTGATCGGCAAATTCATTTGCCGCCGATAAATGTGCGTCACGTTCCGATTCAAGAATCTATATAAAAGAAATATAAAAAAAATTAAATTCTATCGAAAAGCTGAAAGACATCTTTTTTTTTTTTTTCTTTCTTGAATTGAAAGAAATGAAAATTTGAGGAAACTATTAAATGTTTGACACTGTAAAGGAAATTCATGAAAATGGACAATGATTTATTTGTATTAGAATTTGCACTTACGTGTTGAAATAGTTCCCTCAGCCGTTCGTTTCGCTCTAATTGTGTTGGTATGGAACGTCGTGTGGGTAAATATCTGGCACCCGTCACCATTTCTGGCAATAAACCACAACCTACGATGCAATACAGTGTCCAACACCAGAAAATTCGTTCATTTAATGACTTCGTCATTTTCTTCAAGTCGGGTTTTTTGTTTGTTTGTTCTGTGTGTTTTTTATTGGGTGCGCGAAGCTATCACACCAAAAATTCTTTCTAGTTATTAGCAAAGTGAGTGCCACAGTATCACACACACACACAAATTTGAAGAATTCTTTAATTCGTTTTAAGTGTTACTCTTATTTCTGAAACGTTACACGATTTTTTTTATCTCGTTTCTTTTATTTCAAACTTGATTTTTAAATTCAAAGCTCAAGAGTAAACAAAACAGATAACGGTCAATCTTAGCAGTTGCACAAAAATTATTTCATTTGAAAATAATGATGTGTTGAAAATATCACACTTAATCCAAAAGAATTGTTAATCACGCTATTTTGAACACATACACTGACACGCACTAAAGAAACTGTTTTTTTTTTCTTTGTTTTTAAATTGATTGTAAATTTCGAAAATGGAATCAATTCAAGTGTGTTTGTTTTAAAAAATTGCTTTGAAACCGAAGAGTTAATAATGAATTCACCAACAGTAGTATTCGATTTGAATTGAAAAAGCCATTCAACTCGAATGTTGTTTGTCAAAAATGAGATCAACGAAAAATGTGTTAGTTCGTTGTTTGGTACCCGTAAGCTTGTTTACTCTGCTAGCATCGGTAGTTGACTGAAACTTAACCGTATCGAAAGAACCTATCCAAGTGAAAAATTCTTCAAGAGTTTTGCACTCACCAAGCAGAAGCATAACACAAGCAATCCAGTATATGTGCTATGTAAAATGATGATGTTCAAGTTAAAGCTGTGAACGCGTGGATGTTTTGACGATTTTCATTTTTTTTTTCCTCTTTTCTTCGATACATTTTGTCATCGTCACTCCTTTGGTTTTGCTATCTCTCTCCCTCTCTCTCTTCTCACTTTTTCTCTTTCTCTTTCTCTCTTCTGTGATGTTTCATTTCATCGTGGGCTTTTAACGCCGTTTGTGTTTTGTTTGACTTTGGAACTTTTTCGAGCTCAAAGCCAAATGTTAGAAATTCTAAGCACTGCTTTTTACGACATATTAAATAAATGTCCAACTGGATCTACCATCTCTTTCTCTTGTGTTGCACATATGTGTCTAATACAATATGTATATTCTTTTTATTCTTTGTTGCTATTTTTGGATCATTCATTCTATTTTCAGTTGACATTCATGTTTTGATGTTTTTCTCTGATATGTATCTCATCGTGCACGAGCACAACACAAAAAGAATAAAGCAATGTTTATTGTGGCAAGTTAGCGAGATGAGCAAACAATCGAGACATCGAAATCAATTTGCCAAAGAAATAGATAAGACTGGAGAGAGAGAGAAAGAAAACGTGACGCAAAAAGTAGACAAAAATTGTAAATGAAGAAAAGAATAAACGTTCACAAATATGATACAACGCAAAAAGAATGATGGTCGATTTTGTGAAAATAGTAAATACAGTTAGCGAAACTATAGCCGGAATGATGACTGTGACGGCAGCAACAGCCGCAGAGCATCACGAGGCACAAGGGATAAATTGACTCGAAGAGTAAATAGATTCATAGGACTTTCAACATACAATGCCGTAAATTGTATGAGGCACGCACCATCAAGTTGTAAAAATGTAAAACAATGCATACACACACATGATGAATATAAAATGACATTGATGACGTTCATCATTTGGCGTAAAAAGTGATTTTCAATGGATTGTCAGATCAAATGGATAAGTGACCAAACAAACGTCGTCAACATTTCACAAAAGTCATTCTCAATTGAATGTGTTATGGTCGAATGGAATGCGGCCCAAAGCATAATCCATATAATAATCAAATAAAATCCGTTTATTCGGTCATTTATGCTTTATACTAAACCCGAATGATTCATTTCACTTTCATTGAGCGACCTAAACTATCACATACAAAGTAGCAGTATAAGTGCTCTTCAAGCACTTTCAATGCTTTAATCCCTTTATCGAATCAACACATTCAACTCAAGCACCATAAGAAATGCTATCCGTTTTTTTCGCGAACGCGTGAAAAAGAGACAAATGAATAGAAAAAGAGACGACAACAGCAGAAAAAGAGGCAAGCGGTTGAGTGTGTTGTCTGTGTACGTTTGTTGTTTACGCAAATAGGTTTTGAGAATTGAAAGAAATTTACATCTCGAGATAGAGCACGAAACGAACATTGTGTTGACCATTCGTAATGGCATTTTCTTAGACTTTTAGCTTGGTTTCGACAATTTTCTCATTTTCCTCTCTATGCATTTCAATTAATTCACTCCATTGAGCTTTCAATAGGACGCCTCAATCACATCCTAATATAAGCTTTTTCGGATATATATATATTTTTGAATTCCAAATGTTAAAACGAAAATATGCAACTTTCATGATTGAGAAAGTAGACGACACAAACACATTATACGACATTCGATATGAAACGACACAGATTTCAGTACCAATCGAGAATAATTGCCCGACATTGCGCCTCCGTAATATATTCAATTAATTTCCCTTTTTTGCCATAATAAAATAGAAGAAATTCCAATCAAAGATGCTTGACATGGTCTGTTGGGCACCGTTGGAAATGTAAAATACACACAAAAAAGAAGAAAAATGTCTCCATTTCGACCTATACATTTGAACACAATTCAAAAAAAATAAAAATAAAGTACGATATATACGATTTTGGTAGAGTCACAATATTACACAGCACATATTCCATACTTGCGTGTGTTTGAATATAGTGTGTGTGTTCAAAAATTACAGTGTTTGGAGCACATTACGACGCCGATATGTCTCCACAACGATTTTATTCTTCTTCATTCACCTCGTCGAAATCGTTCGAATGCAATAGCTATCAAATTGAATTAAATTGTTGCATTTTTTGATGGCAACTATGAATATTCAGCTGTTTCGTACTATTTTCATTCTTTCAAACCATTTCTCCCATTTTCATGTCGTATTCTCCGTGTTGTGTGTTTTCATAGACTTTTTATTGTTTTGCCAGTAGTTTCAGTTCCAAAAATATATCCCAGCGATACAGACATCTTGAGATCGAAGGCGCGTGACGGTGTAAATCGCGCGTAATTGCATTAGTTTTCACTTTGTTTGTGTGACAAAAAGTCGATATTGAATGGAAAGTGCGAAAAAAATACAAAAAGTCGAGTGCGATAAATAAAAATTTTGAGGTGAAACCAATGAGTAAGCCAAATATTTTTCAGTTTTGGTATTGCTTTTCTCCGTCACAACTATGAATATTACGTCCAACCAATGAATTGACATGACATTGCGAAGTAGATTTTCAAGGATATATGCATATACTATGAAACAACACTATCGTAAATGTTTGTTTGTTTGCCTGTTTTTTTCTTCTCTTACGTCTCATTTGTCATCTGTCGAACTGACTGATAGACTTTTGTGGAAAAGTTGTTTTTATCCCCCCCAATATCGTTTTCTGAATCAATCGTAGTATTGGAAATTCACGCATCTTGATAATTCATGACGTTTATCAAATCGTTTATTCGTTTGAAATATAGGTGTGATACAACCACAATTTCGAAAGCCACATTTCCACCAAATTGTCTCCGGTTTCTGTCACTTTCATTCTATGCTTTAGATTATAAAACAGATCTTGGCGTCAATTGGTTGAAACTCAAAACTTTTTGCGAGAGAAAAAAAGTCACGAAAACACATCGTAAATAGAGAGATGGAAACGACCAAATGGTTTTATTTGCTAGTTTATACGTGCATTGCACATATCTCATGGATATTGATCCACTCAATGATCCAACGACATTTAAAACCATTAATGTCACCATTTCATAAACCATCAATCAGTTTGAATGCTATTAAAATTGGCTTCTTCCATGCATTTCTGTTCTTTGAATTGTGAAAACAATGGGATTGGCACATTTCAGTTTGATAGAAGATTCACATTTTCACCAACTTTTTAGTTTTTAGAAGTAGCTGTAAAAACTTTTGCTTTTCGCTTGAGTTGAAAAAATTAATTAATATTATTATTACTCGATAAAGTACAGTTGGATGTGTTAAAGGATTTCAAAGCTATTTTGATAAGAACATCTTGAATAATAATGAAAATACTAATAAATTTTCAGAGAAAGCCGCATAAACAACATCCTTCATAAGCTTCCTCCGGATATTTATTATATTATATGTCTGTGTGGATGAGACAGAAATTACAAAAAAAAATGTGACCACGTCATTAGTGATCACAGCAAGCAAAAAAATAAAATTGAAGAGATCAAAACAGAATTGGAATTGAAAAATGTCAGTAATTAATTTATTGTATACAGTACAATGTACTGTACAATTTTATTCAGTATAAAAGTAGTTTTTTTTTGTTTTGTCGCTGAGATGAGCAATATTCCTGGGATGAATTACATTCGATAGAACTATAAGATACATGTACTGTCCTTTGAATTTAATCAAATTGAATTTTATTGCAATTGGTTGAAGCTCTTAAAAATGAAATAAACACATTGTCAATGTGAGTAAAAATAGTTTTTTTTTTGATTCCCTGCGGTATAAAAATGTATGTGGACAAATTTGTCATTAAAGGCTTGTCACACGGCATGAATCACGAATCAGTCCACTTTCCTAAAGTGCTCAATTCATTTCATACATATGATTCTCATCACGTTTTTTCATGGATAAATCCATTCATAGTAGCATTGATGTCCGTTTAACGGACTTTGTCACTACCCCACTTGTGCTTCAATTGATTCCATCAATTTGAATTCTGAACGTTCCACTTCGACGTGGGTTCTCCAATGCAGATGACCATCTTCAGTGAGAGAAAAATCTCAGCTCATGACTTATTCAATTGGTACACTTAGTAAAGGAAAATCTCTTGTTTATGGGTATAGGTCGTGTTCGTCATTGCTATAAATCTTGTTGAATCAGTCGCACTTCTTCATTTTCTTTTCTACTATATTCTTGTCTTGGTACAATTGAAGTTGTTGTATGTTTTAATAAAAAAAATTCTATAAAATTTATCCTTTGCATTCCAATTTGGCCCAAGCTTCATTTCATGTTCGAATGTAAATGCTTCGTGCGTATTTCCGTAAAATTTTCGCATAAAAAGCACTGTGCGTGTGAAATAAAAATGACTATGACAATTATATTATCCTGAAGCTTGTCATTGTACGCTGATCACGATGTTTACTGTTTACCATTCTGAATTATGTGCGTACGTGCATTTCGTTTCATGTAATTTCAAATGATGAATGAATTCTAGGCGACATGTAAAAATTGTTGTCGTTAAAAGCGATATTTAGGGCAAATGGAGTAATGCAGCATTAAACTATGTCAATTCAACAATATGGGTATGCTTTTAAAATCGTTGCCATTTTAAGTGCTTGATCACGTAGATGTACCATTTGTTACACAGAGTGAACACTATTTACTTGTGAATATTGAACTTTTATCATTTTTACAATTTAATTTATATCCTTTTCAATTGTTTGGGAATTTAGTTGTGAATTAAAAGTAATGATAGTATTTACTGAGTAGTAATCAAATCAACCTCGAATCATTTTAATTCAAAGAAATAGTTGTATAAATATATTCATGTACAATTCACCTTATCTCAAGTGACGTAAATCCCGAAGAATATGCACAAACATTTCAATATGCTCTGAATATAATAATGATTGATTCAGATGGAATCTTAAATGATTCGTTGTATACCTGGTTGTTTTTGTTCATAAGGATACCACCGCAATGTAAGCGGAAATAAAACTAAGAACATTTTCATGAAATCATAAAGTCATCCACCGGGATGCACTCGAATAACTTACTTCTCAAGTATTCCATAATGCTGTTGAACTCCATAACGAAAAACTGGATAGAACGAAACCTTAATAAATATCTCTTTATCTCAAAATGAAGTGACATTCAAGTTTATAACTATGTAAATAATTAGTTCTCTCGTGAGTATATTCATTTCGAATAATTTTATCTATATTTTTCTTTTGAATTTCCGCACAAAAGACTCTGCAGTCACTTAATTTATTCACTTTTTAGTTGTACCTATTAGGTACTACCTAAAGCACCCGCTCAGCGGGTAGTACTTATATGGCTCATACTATTATATCACCCGCTCATTATTATTTGAGCGAACGTCTTCGGGTTCATCATTATAAAAAAAATAAATCAAATCATGAGTCAAATTCGATATTTTACAACAAATATTTTATCAATAATTGCAGGTTGAACCACAAGTGATTGCAAAAAATTAAGAATATTGATGGACTATGCCGTGAACCCAATGGAATTGGCAACCAATGTGCATGCATCTTAGTCAATGTGTACTATCTACTGGAACGCCGGTGAAATTGTGACATTTACGTTTGTCACGAGAAATGTTCGATGAGTATGTTAACAAATATATGATCGAAAATGAATGTTAGTCTTCTCTCGATATTTGATTCAAATGTAACATCACCAACACCATATAAAAATTGGGATTTTTTTCAGAGACTGTTTCTCATAGTAATATATGTCAGGAGGAGTGCTATGAGTAACTGAAGGAGAAACAGTCTCTGATTTACTGCTTTGAAAAAAGAAAATCAACATAAATGACACACTTTCAATTTTTTTAAAGAAAAATTCAAAGTGGAAGTCGAATATTGTAAAATTAGAAATGTTCACTAAATTGGAAAAGCTTTAGAAAATCTGTGCCCAAATTTAAAATTGAAATTCATTGCTTTGGTCTTTTTACATACAGGTTAATTGAAAAATACAAATTGGAAAGAGCCGAAAAAGGGACGGCCTTATCCGCCGAAATGATGCTACAAATAAAGAAACTTAAAACAGACAAAAAAGCAATCGTTGAGTCGTTGTTATTAGGTGGTGACAATTTTGAATCGTCTCAGCTGTATTAGAGTCATATGTACATGACTTAAATGAACTAGTTGTGGCAGAAAAGAATGTTAACCATTTATTGGAAATGAAAATCGACCAAGTGACAATTAAGAAAAATGGATTTTTGCTCACTATACCCATTGGTATGGATTGAATTTTATTTTCCAAATGTTTTTTTAGATGAAATTAAGGAGAAAATAAATATCGTGCAACAAATGAAACCGAATAATATTGCAGACTTCATCCTTTGCTAATTGCCGACGCGATTGTATTGGAAAAATATAAGCGTGACCTCGTTGAATTAAACGCCATTGGAAATGATCATCCGATTTATTATTATAGCGCAAAACTAGGAATAATTACTGGAAGTAAAACCAACTATTTAAAATATATTCGAAGCTATTGTCCAGAGGAAGTGTTTGCAATAATTGAAGCACGTATTAAACAAAAAAATGATACCATACTCGTAAGTATGATGATTCGAAAGAATTGAATTTTCATCAATGAATTTTTTTATAAGATAGTTTTTTATTTTTATTATGAAACAAACCTTTGCACAATATTTTTTAGTCTTCGTTCAGTTTGGTTTCGAGTCGAAGACTGGAGTTTTGATAAAAGCCATTTTAACATGAACATATTTTTTACATGTTAAAATTGCATTTTACCCGCAAACAAAATGTGTTGCGGTTAAATTGAGCATGTTAAAATTTAATTGTAAATTTTTGGAACAGTAAAGACTTGAATGTAATTTGGTTTATCAATTATCATATTCACACTTCTAAAACCTCTCTCTCTATCTCTATCTATCTCAAGACATGGTAAATTTTCATTAGATATCGCTGTTTCTGTCACACGTTAATTTGTTAATTTAAATCAAAACTAAATTTTTTTCACGTAAAATTCGAGTATTGAAACAATACGTTGAACGTTGAGTTCGTTTTTTTTAAATACAGCGCCGTCATGTTGAACAACATAAAAACATCAAAATGTGTGAACTGAAACTGTCAGTGACGAATGCAGCGAGCAGCTGTTATCACACTCATTCATGGTCTTCTTACGTTGCGTGCAAGTGAGACGGCAACTGATGTTTACACTCAGTTTGACTGTTCAATGACGATTTCAATACACGTACACTTGAAGATTGTTTGCTGCTGTATGTAAAGTAACTCGCCGTGAAAAACAATATAATAAGAAAAATTCAATCAGTTCGCCTGCATTGTTTTTCAAAATAATTGTCCAACGGGAGAATATCCAGCGAAACGAAATATTGAATAAATAAAAACAAAATTCGAAGTAAGTTTCATCCATTTGCTTAGAATTGTCAATTTGTTTTGCTCTAGTGTTTATGATGACAAACAAGTTTTTGACAATACCGAAATTGTGGATTTTCTTTGGAAGAATTCAGTTAAATTAAAATAATTTTCACATCATCTTCGAGAAATTCGTGATATTTTTCGATTTGTGTGCGAAAATTGGAAGAATTGTGATAATTTAGGAGAAACAGACATAAGTTATTAAAGCGTTGCGTTTGAGGTTAGGTTCAATTGTTTGCCTTTGTGCAAGTCATTTTAAAATCGGAACAAGCAAAGCCGATTCATATTCAGCATAGTTGTAAAGTTCTGACAATTTGTAGGAATTTTAAATATTAAAAAAACATTTGTAAAATTAATTGTAATTATCTTCTCATTCTTCTTTTTTTTGTGTGCAGATAATTTTATTTTGTTGCCAATTGTGTTGATTAGAAACAAAAGTTAAAAGATGGATGATCCACGATTCGATAATTTGGTGAATATCGACGGCGGTCGTATCATCAAGATGGAGGTAGACTACAGCAGCGCTTGCGATGAAAAAATACCGGCATTGAAAGAAGCTGCTAAAGATCCAGCCAAATTCCATCAATCGATCGATGGTTTGCTTCAATTGGAAAAACAAACGCGTTTGGGCGCTGATATGGTGTCATGTTCACGTGTATTGTGTGCTATTGTGCAAATATGCTTTGATGCGCGCAACTGGAATGCACTCAATGAGCACATTGCATTGTTGGTAAAACGTCGTTCCCAATTGAAACAGGCCGTCGTTAAAATGGTCCAAGAATGTTGCACGTATGTCGATCAAATCACCGAAAAGGATGTCAAATTAAAGTTAATTGATACATTGCGTACGGTAACGGAGGGGAAAATTTATGTTGAAGTTGAACGGGCACGTTTAACAAAAATTTTGGCCAATATAAAGGAAGCGGATGGTGATATTGTTGCTGCTGCAAATGTGATGGAAGAATTGCAAGTTGAAACGTACGGCACAATGGAGAAACGTGAAAAAGTCGAATTGATTCTTGAACAAATGCGATTGTGTTTGGCAAAACAAGATTTGGTGCGGGCACAAATTATTGCGAAAAAAATCAGCATTAAATTCTTCGATGATCCAGAACAAGAAGACCTTAAGTACAAATATTATTGCATTATGGTAAGTGAAACAGCGGCAAATTGAAAACATACAAAAAAAATTAATTATTTCTATTCACTTGAATACACACACAGATTGATTTGGATCAAGATACATCATACTTGCGCACATCACGTCACTATCAAGCGATTATGGATTCAAAAATCATTGCCGATATTCCAAATCGAAGACAACAAATGATGGTGTTTGCATGCTTGTATTGCATTTTGGCACCATACGACAATGAACAACAAGACATGATGCTGAAATTAGATAAAATGAAGCAACTCGATGAGTCGACCATTTGCAAAGAGTTGTTACGTTTATTTATGTGCAAAGAACTTATCGATTTTGCTGCAATGGAAAATTTGTACGGCAAAGAATTGCTTGGCTTTGAAATTTTCAATCAAAGCAAAGCACATGGCAAAAAATGCTGGACGGAACTCAAAAATCGTGTTATTGAACATGTGAGTATTTTTGGAAGACATTTTTTTTTTTGATGAATATTGATTTTTCCTTTCTTTTTTTTTAAATTATTCAGAATATTCGCGTCATTTCCAACTACTACACCAGAATCAGTTTGAATCGATTGTGTGAATTGCTTAAACTTCCAGCCGAACAAACTGAAGAATACCTTTCGCAGTTGGCCAATAATAATGCGCTTACTGTGAAAATCGATCGTCCATCGGGCGTTATTCATTTTTCAACGAAAAAGGCACCAAGCGACATTCTCAACGACTGGGCGTTCGACATCTCGAAACTCATGAGCTTGGTCAATAAAACCTGTCATCTCATAAACAAAGGTATGGCAAACAATTTCTATACATATTCAAATTTTGTATCGATTAATTTTTATGTGTGATTAACATTCATTTTCTTCATTTACAGAGGAATGTATAAACAATGTATTAGCCGATTAATCATTTAAGTGATCCAGATTTATGATACGTGCGCTATGCTACAAACACGTCAGCACCAACACACATTAAATTCTCTACTTGTTTTCTTTTTCTCTTAAAATTTCATTTTTTTCTTTATTTGTCTACAATTAGCCCATTTTCAATTGTTACAACTGAAAATATTTATATTTTTTTTAGTGTTTTGTAAACTGAAACAGAATACACCACGAAAAAATATCATCTTTTGTACTAATTGATTTTATTTCACTAAATAAATGAAGAAAAGCGTATAGAATGCGAAAATATCGAAAAATTTCATGTTTGATTTTTGGATATTGTGGAAAACTTACCTTTATCTTTCCAATGCGGCAATGCGGCTAGCAATGAGAAATAGATTAAAGAATAAAAACAATGAAAGGCTTAATGCTGTTGGCTTTTAGCAATTTTTTTTATGGTTTGTTGGGCTATATCAGGATCTTATGTTCTATAGACTATTTATTGCATCAAAATTCTACAATTTCATTTGTTGATAATGATTTTTTGTTGTTGTTGTTGTTGTTGTCTCTTTTTGGTTAAATTGGTTTTTTGCATTCTACAAATCGAGTTGAGTTTGTTTATTTGTCTCACAAAATGTGCTTGTTACAATTTGATTGCCTGCTAAAACTTATATAAAGTCACAAACTATGTGCTATTGTTGATCAATTGTACGAATCGTGACACAGAGAGAAATGTACTTTGTGTCATTAAAAAGAAATTGTCCGCATTCATTCAGACCCTGGATATTCGAATATATTAAATTGAAACAATCGCAAGCACTGTTACCTTATTAATGTGTAGATATTTAATGCATTGTTTTTTTTTTTATTTATTCCACTGATAATGGATTTGTTGCAGTTCAAAATATACAATTTCTTTTTTGTCGTAAGATATACCCAGTGTGACGGATTGAACAACCCAATGGACTTGAGAAAAACAAACCAATCTGTTATTGGAAAGGAGAATTATATTATGCATACCAGATTTAAGATTTGTGTATATCTATCGAAATAAATTTTGTTTATATTTAGTATAATAGTATTTTGATATTTTATGGCATGGAATCGTTTCTTTTTTTTGGTTTTATACATCGAATCAAAACTTGGCATTTATTTCAGTCGAGATCGCACGTGCTTTTTTTTGTTTTCTCTTTCTAAATTATGTTTTTTAATCTCTCCGGGAGAAGCGAAAAACATCGCCAATAAAATATATCACTAAACAATCAATAAATTATAATATATATTTTTATGATTTTTTGTTTTTTTTATAGGTGCTTCACATTTTTTTTTATTTAAATTATCAGGAGGATTGATTGACCCAGAATAAATGTTGATTGAAGAATAAATAGAAATATCCAGCTAATTTGTTAATACAGCCGATCATCCATTTATTTTGATAACCTATTCTTTCTTTTTCAAATTTCTCTCATAAGACCAATTTGTGTGTTTCGGCACTTTAGAAAATACATGATGATTAGATTGCTTGCGCACTTCGAAAACAGAGTGGACAAGCGAAAACGACAAAAAAAAAATCGTAAATGCGTCAAGCAATGGTATCATAAATAATTCAAAGAAATAAGACTTGAAGCATGCTATAGATGGTCAATGAATACTATTAATTCTTTATGAAACATGCAAAGTTTACCTCGGAAAATTGTGTGGGATGTCTTTTTTTCGGGTATATTTATGACGTAAAATCAAACTATGTTTGTTGTTTTTGTGGCACACATATTCAATAGACCAACTTTAATGGAACGATCCAAAAATTATAATATTTAAAAGAATCCATATACGCTTAACAATTAAAGTTATAGCCTGACTGAATGCGATTGAATGTGATTTGAATTATAAAATTGTTATTTAAAAATTTTCCCGCTTGTCAATAATATTAGTAAGTTTCAAAAGAAGGTTGTTTTTTTTTCGTGCGTTCTTTTCGATCATGTGCTTATAAGCACCATAGCAATTGAAGAAAGTCTTTCTGAACAGTTCGGCACAGTAAACAACAGAAAAAGAATGAAAAAAAGTACATTCTTTTCAAGCTCACTAATAGAAGGAAATTTCGTATGAAAGTTCTGTAGCATGTCTTCTTTTGTTTGATTTTAAGACAAAATGTATAGGGCCTTTCGTGTTATATATATATATATTTATGTATGTATGGGTGTTGGCGAATCCTTCAGAATAAATATTTTTTTTCTTTCTTACTTATAAATTATTTCTAATCCTCTAGCGTAACATATTATTATCATATTTGTTTTTTTTTTATATAATCATGGATGGAAGTCGCTTTTTAATACTTTTTGTTCGTTTTGTTTTTTTTTAGTAAACGTTAACATTTTTTTTCTTTTCTAATTATTTTTCGCTATTGATTATTAAAAATGTTCATGTGTGATTATTATTGAATTTTAATCGCATGGCTGTTGATAGCACATTAGTGAAAAAAAAAAGAAAATTTCCAGCAATCAAAACTAAATTGTAATGATATTTCGAGAAAATCAAAATTTTACTTTCAAAAAAAGTATCACGGTAAAGTTGATAAGTTGCTTCATTAAAAATTCACGTTACACGCAACTACACTTGATCAGACGGTCAAAGATGATGTCTTGACTTTAATTGTTCAATTACAAAACGAAAATGTCAAATCCAAGGGAAAAACCTACTCAAGAAAAGGAATTCTGTAAAAAAAACAGGTGAGTCGTGTGTTCCATGGAAAAAAGTCCATTTTCTACCTTAAAATATAGAGTCTACATTGCCGTTTGATATATCTAATTTCAAATTATGCCTAAATATGCAAATACAATGATATCAAAATACATGAAATGCACATTACAGCAGGATATACCGTCAAATCGATCGAACCGCCCATATAAATTCACGCGACGGATATAAATCATCTAGATAGCCGCAAATTTTTCGTTTTTGTAATATTTATCGATTGTGACACTCATATGTAGTTGTCTAAAATCGTTGCTTCACGTCGAAGACGCAATGAATGTCACCGAATCGAAATATATATATAAAAAATGTGTCTGGTTTATCCGTCGAATGGATTGATATGTGCAAATCGATTCATCTGACGATATTCCCTGCATTACATTAGTAGTAAATGTTTTTCCAACAATTTTCTATAAGTTCTTATTTATAGTAAGCACGTATATTGTTTTTGTTATATTTTGTTGCTGTTGTTGTTCATGCCGCGTGCAAAATAAAAATGCGTGAACTGTGTATGTTTGGGATTCCGATTCATTTCAAATCGCATTTTCAATTCGAAGTTTTTGTTCAACGGATCATTTTTGTACTTGTACTTTTATATCCGAAAGTGTCATTTCATTAGTTTTAAAATCTAAATTATGCACATCAAATTAACAACATAGCAGTTCAATTAGAACGAATTTCACAAGAAAATATGTGCTTTGGTGCGAACGTTTATTCTTTTTTTTTTTCATCATTTCTAAAATTGTTGATGGTGCACAGTGTGTATGACATCAATACAATATCATCTCAAAATAAAACGCGTGTAGCAGACTATAAAAATTGAAATCATAAAGCAAATATACCACTGAGTTCGATCCAAAAGCATCCTCAAATGGACGCAAGATTTAGATTTTTGAACTCATCTGCTAACCGAACCAATTAGAATCAAAATGACGATGACAAATCAATTGATACAATGACATTTTTACGGTTCTTGACATCAATTTTGCTATTTCATCTAATCTACACAGAATTAAATCACACACACGCGCTATCATTTGATGAATATTTAAACATCGAGTCCTAATATAAGTATCATTACATTTATGCATGGCAGAAGCAATACGTATCTTTTCATGTTTTTCCTTCATTTTCTGTTTCACGGACGACCAAAAAAATTGTGTTCCGCACCCACCATCCGACAATTCGTATTTATAGACAATTATCATAAAAAGTGCATGTGTACACTTTGTTTAGGATGTCAAACAGGTGGTGTTTTGGGTGAGTTTGTTTGTATGCATTCAACATTTATGGTGTTGCAACGGTTTTAATCGGCGTTTTGAATAGCATACTACAAAGTTCGCCTTCACCTTTGCACAATAAGATTTGTTGTGATCTCTCATCACTTTTTTTTATGTTTCCAAGTATTCTGCGTATACGCGGTTCCATCCATCCGTTCTGAAAGTAAAATAAAAATACAAACATTTCAAACCAATTCGTCCGCATTTCATTAAAAAAATTACCGCAAGAGCTTTGAAGCGAATTAAAAAAAAAATCATTTACCTTAACGAGCTCGACTTCAGTGCCATCGGCTTTATTTCCATTTTTGGTACTAAAATATTCGTCAATGTACCGTTGTTCTTTTGATTTTCGTTTGTTATTTGACTTTTGACGAGGATTATTGTTGTTATTTGGTTGTTGTTTCGTTTTTGGTTTTTGATTTTCCGATTTTGTTTGTTGCATTGCATTTTGTTTTTTATGGGCTTTAGCAATTTTCCTTGGAAGCATTTGATCGTCGTTTTTGTCAAAGAATTCGGAAGCCACTTCCGCACTATTATCACTAACACCATACGAATTGTCTGCGAAACTTTTCATAATTTTCTCTTGTTTATTGAGTTTTTTGGCTTTGATTTCTTCAATAGTTGGCGCTACCAAGTCTTGATTCGATTGTTGTTGATCCATTTGACTGCTAAAATCTCCACTTCCACTATTGAAATAATCATCATAATCATCGTCATCAATATCAAACGTTTCGCTGCTATCCGTATCGCTGATATCGGAATAACCGAAATTTTTGAATTTTTGACTAACAATCGTTGGTTTTTTTGACGATTTTTTATCACGAACGCCAATTGTTGGTTGCACTTTTTCGGTTGTTGGTGTCTTCTTTGCATCGGGTTTGTCTGGAATCATTGACGGTTCGTCTGGTAATTTTTCAACGCTTGTTTCAATTTCCATAATATTACTATTCGGTGTATTTAGCTCCTCGTTGTCATCACCATCGATATAAATGGTTTCATCATTCTCGCCTAATTCGACTTTGTTGCGTTGCTGATTCAAATATTCCTCCTTTTTCAAATCAGCTATAACACGATCCGTTATCGATTGTGTAACACTTTTATACATCGTTGGTGATGGTGTTTTTGTTTTACCATTCGTTGATGTCATTGAATCCGCTGAATCTTGTTCATCGCCGGTGGCCAAACTATTTGCAATGTATGGTTTGTATAGGATTTTTGTGCTTGAAAATCCAGTTCTGTCATTGTTCAATTTATCGGGATCGTTTTTGAATGATGCCAACGATGTATGAATTCCGTTTTGTGATTTTATCTGATTCGCATTTCCGTATGCGCTTTTATTGAATCGTTGTGATACAACGAATGCATCCATTTCGCCATCGAGCACCAATGATAACGGTTCGGATGTGGACGAAATGTGAGCGACCGTTTCACGGGAACTAAATACAAACGATGATATCATACCACCGATCATAAAAACTAGAATTAGTATACAAAAAATGCACAACGTAAAGAGATGTGCGGGCAATTTTCGGCCAATCGATAAAATCACTTGGTTTAACATTATGTCTTCTTTTTTTCTTTATTTTCTTTCTCGAGTTTGTTGAAGAGTTCTCGCCGAGCTTCAGACAAAAACTTTTCCTCTCTTGGTACTTGTCGACTTTTTATTCTTATTTTTTTTCTTTTTCCGATTACTTCGCGTTCGCTTTTGTTTTTCTCTGTTTTAGATACGCACTTGTGTCTCGTCCTTTTCACACGATACCAAGTATGTATGCCTATGACACGTCGTTCTATATATGTTTGGTTTATATTATATACGCTTACGTATGTTTCTGTATGTAAAATCAGTCGTTTTGGATATGCTCCGATAAATCAATTTATATGCAGATAATTTTATTTACTCGTCTTTCATGTTATTTTCAAATAAATTCCGTTCGGGGACTCCTTTTTCTTTCTTTCTCTGTTTTCGTTACATTCGCACAAAATTTGTTTTTCCTTCTCTTTTCAATATAAAATCAATGCACAGCATGTATTCAATATTTCTCAAGTTAAATTAAGTTTTATTTGATTCTACGGACGAAAAGCTAGCAACATTTACACTTTAAGCCAAATTTCGATGATAGGCTGTCTATTTAGAAAAATTTCCTATTTAATTTACACTTGAAATTGAGAGTCTTTTCACATCGTCCTCTTCTTCTTCTTATTCGTATTATTTTGCAAATAAATTGCTACACTTGTCGTTATGGATATAATGTAGATATCAAAAGAAAACAGTTGCGTGCAATCTTTTGTGCGTTTTTTTATGTGTTTTGATGTCGTAGAAAATTATTTTGCGCGACACTCATTCACTTGAAAAATGTCGAACGAACCGAAAAAAATATTAACGAAAATACACACATTTTATCATCAAAATAAAATTGAAAAATATTCAACTGATTTGTATCATATTGCTAGTAACATTTTTCTTCTTCTTGCATATTTGAATCGATCGTTTGATATGTTTGAATTTAAGCAACACAAATTGTGGCCACGATTTTCAGTGTAAAAACACAAAACAAATCGAGTTGTTTTTTTTTTTGCGCGTTGTTGAGTTATCAGAGGCCCACTTTTATTTGTGAACTTATGCGAACACCGAGCGTGAGTGAGTTAGTGGGAATTTTCGTTTCAAAATTTTCCAAACCAATTCAGAAAAGGGATACACAAAATCACACAGATTGATGTATATAGTTCATAGGTACTGGTAGAATGTTATGGTGTAATTCCTATATAGAGAACAGTGTAAGAAAATTTTTCGTCTGAAAAGCACGGAAAAACTGAACGAATACCATTGCAATGGTAATCGAACCAATACAAGGGGGAAAACATACCAACAATGTTGGTGCACTAAACATTTCGGAGTTTTTGGCAAATCATTGTGTATGTGTGGGTGTGCATTATTAGAGGACATGAACAATTGTCATGCGCACAATTTATATCGCACAGAACATGGTGAATTTTCGAATACTCTTCAAATGGAATTGAATGTCGCTTTCTCTGTTTTGAATATACATTGTATTTTATACGTTGTATATGCGTAACGTCATCAGCACTAGGGTGACACACAGGACACGGTGGTGGGCATATTATAATATTGCCTGTTTGTTTTGCGATGGTGCTTAAACACAGTTAGATAAGAAATTCGTTTACAAGCAAAACTTGAGCATAAGATTTATGTAAGCGGGTGTATTTTATTAGCCATTTACAAGAAACGATTGCCGATTTGTGTTGATGATAGGGCGGTCATATAGCACTAGATAAAAAAAACACACTACAAAACAAATACTTACATAAACAACGTCTTCCGTTGCAAATGCAGTTTAATGCGATAAATAACGTCTCTCTGCATTCTTATCAACCACACTTAAGCCAAAATGTATACAAATGATAATTGCTGATTGTTGTTGTTTTCTTTTTATTTTGTTTTTTTTTTTACCAACGAAAATACACAATTTATTTTCCGTTAAGATTAATTTCCATTCTGATGATTAAACACATTCTTTTTCAATTTTTCTTTAAATTTAAATCCTTAACCCAACCTCAAAAGAGAAATTAAGAAAAAAATATGTATATATTTTTCTAAAAGAAAAGTTTGTTTGTTTTTCTGTTGTTGAGCCTATGTTGCTCTTATTTTTAGCGATTAATTTTGCATCAACTGCTCAAAAATGTATGTGAAAAACTATTAAATTCTTTTTTTGCGCACAAAAATAATGAGAGAGAAGACTGATCTATAAATGTATGTCTGTGTATGTTTGTGTCGACATTTTGATAACTGAACAAAATATCATAATGTGTTTTATGAATTTGATTATTGCATCGCACGCGTGAGCGCGCTTCAAAATAAATTTTTGTCGTTTTATAAAATAAACTTCCTTCGTCATTTTTACTTCCCGTTAAAATAGTTATGGTCGCTTTCATTTTTTTTTCATTTCTATTATTATAATTTTTCATTTTCTTTGTAATTCGGCGATTTGGAAGAAATTGATTTGTTTTCCTTACGTTCTTCTATATATCGCTGTGTTTCATAGAGATTTTCCATTTAATATTTAAACTAATATTTATATTATTCATATAATTCATTAATGAGGCAGCTGTTTTGTTGTTGTTTTTGCTATTTGAATTTGTGCCGCTGTCCTTTGATGTGTTGAAAGCAATGCAATTTCGTTTGTGATGGGTGGTTATCATTTACATTCCCTTCGATTGCATAAACTCAATCCGAGACATTTGTAACGCCTTTTCGATCATCTGCTCTTCGCTCAGTTGTGAAGCAGCTGCAAGAGAAGAAGGAATAAAATAATAATAATTTATTCGTTAGATTAAAATCTTGCAATTTTTTTACGAAATGTGGATTGTTGAGGGATCATATTCAACATACAATTCAAGTCATCCTGGTACGATGATTGGAGCAATGATTGATAAAATTCTGACATTGGCGCATCATTTGACGATGCATAATAGGTTGAGGGGCCAGGTAGATCTTGACTGGAGACTTTTCGCTTTTTACTCGGGCTCGATGCATCAGCATTCGAATTTGAATTCATCACATAGCTGCTATTCGGATTCATTTCATAGCTGGTCGCAACTTCATTTAAAGATGCAATTCCAGCATTGCACACATTTTGTTGAGATGCTTTTCGTCGATGTGATCGACGCTTTCGGCTTCGACTATTGTGATTGATTCAAACGATTCATTTAACAATGAAACAAATTTTCTTTTTCAGATCGTTTTTTTTTTATATACACTTATACAACTTACGAGTTTTCGGCTTGTTGTCGATCATCTGAATTGGATGAACCAGCAGCTGGTGACGAGTTGTTGCTGTAGTAATCGGCCGATTCGCATGAAGCACTGTCATCGGAATCACGTGAAGATTTTGAATGGAGTTTCGTATAACTATACGGACCAGCTACACTAGCTGTAGCTAAATGAGGAGAAAAGTCAATAATTACTTCTATGCTCTGACAGAAGAAGTATAAAAATTACAAACCGCCTGTGGTAGTTGAGGTTATTGTTGAACTGCTTTGGATGGTATTCGATGAAAGCATCAATTGCTGTTGTTGCATCACATTGTTGTGGACGTTTTGTTGTTTTGGTTTCTGATGTTTTTCACGGCACCATTGCAAGTATGATTCACGAGCAATTTGCTCTTCGATTGCTTCATTGGTCGCCTCCCAATCGGTGGTTTTGAGTTTATCTTCAAACATTGTTTGTTCGATTTCCAAATCTTCGCTCAAACGTACCGCGTCACGTAAATGCTTTACATTCGGTGATTCATCGACAATTCGATAACCGGACAAACCTAAACCCAGTCCAACGGTCGGTTTGTATGGATTTAGAATCGCATTATAATGCGATCCACGTTGATACAATAAACGTAATGGCTCGACTCCTTCTTTTATTTGCTCCAATCCAAATATGTTGACAGGCTCTGAAATATTACAAATGTTCGTTGAGTTTTGCAATCGTTATTTTTTTATGCATTTCAATTCAGTTTAGAAAATATAAATCGTACAAAAATTGGGTCAATCCATTTGTTCGTTTTATTTTTGTTTCATAAAAAAAATAACCATACATATAGTTTACCTGTGTGATATGCATAAATTTCGACGGGTCGATTGAATATTTCGGAAATTGCTTGAATTTCTATATGATTGCCATGGACGTGATTGTTTCGCTTACGCGAAACGTAGCTATCAATGTCTTCCGTTACGAATTGCATAAAATACTCCCGGTTTTGATACTGAAAACAGACGATTTTGTTTATGTGTTAAAACAAATGATTTAAAACAATGTTTATTTTTTTCACAAATGAAATATTTTTGATATGCCTTACAATATAATCCATTGTTTGTTGTCGAATGATTTCGTGCATGCCCTGATCGCCATAAATTTGAAGAGATATCGAACGGAATAGGCATGCACCATCCTCGACAATTTCTTCGATGACAAAACCGCGATCATTCATTGTTTTTACAAACAATTTATCACGTTCTTCCCATTGTTCTGGTGTTAAATCATATTTTTGACCATGATGCTCATCACCACTATTGTATCCCGAATAGTTGTTTTGATCATCATCAGCATCATTTTCTCGCCCTCGATCCGGTGAATTCTGAACATTTAAAATAAAAATTAACACGTTGTAACAATTGATCCAATTGACATTTTACCTTGAGATTGAGGTTGACAGTCGTTGAACTGTTGCCATTGTTGTTAAGATTACTATTACTGTTAAGATTATTGCTACTGTTGTTGCCAGCGATGAAGCAACTGTTTGTTATCACATTTGACGATGTTGATTGTATTGTTGGCAGCACACTTCCTGGCACCGTATTTGTGTTATTGCCAGTGGTTTCTTCGTTTTTCGTCTGGCCACTCGAATCATTCGAGCACTGGCCATTTGTGCTGCTGCTGTTTATGTTCACTAAGCGCTGCTTATGATGTTTTTGAGTATTGCTGTTGCTCGGACCACCGTGTGATGATCCACTGTGTGTGCAAAATGTCAAAAAGTTCATTGATTTAACTTTAAGCCGCTGTTTATATGTTGAATTGTTTAAATTACCTTTTTTGATTTGTGCGTCGATGACGATTTACCACTACATCGTCTACTCCATAACCGGTATTGCGTAAACTGTTTCGCTGTTCGATGCCATGTTGAGTCGACTGTAAAATGTAAAATAGAAACGAATGAAAATGAATCGAACAATCTATGCATTATCATTTATTATACATACCGGACTTTTTGGCGATGAAATTTTATTTAAGCACTCTCGATGCTCTCGATGTTGTTGATTGACTTCGGGTTCGCTGTTGTCCGATTTGATGGGTTTGATCGTCATTTTGATCGATTAAATGTTACTATTATTTAATTAAGCCGCAAATGGAATCTATTTTGAGAGCAATTAGTCAGAAGCACACAACAAGAAATCAGTGCCTAAAATCCAATTACAGGGTAACTGTTAACGATGAAGTAATCAACAAAATAATTGAATTCCTTGCAAAACAAAAATTGTAAATGTTTTTTTTTTTTTTTCAATTTGAACGCCGATGATAATGTCAAATAATGTGTCGTCAGCCGAAAAATGTCACTGTCACGATAAATAACACGAGCGTATTGAATTGAAAATGAACGAAATAAGCGAGCCAGAAGAAGATTGAAAAAAAATCAACAACCATCTAACCTAAATCTAAATATTTGACATTGTTTTTCTCATACAAGCGAGTCTTGTACACTTTTTTTGTTTCAAACTCAATTCTGCAATTTAAAACGCACAAAATGCAAATTATTTTTTTTTCTCAGTGCATTTGGTTTGGTATTATGAACATTTACAAGCAAAAGAAATGTCGGAATCGTTATTTTTGAGATGTCAATGCATCGACAACATGCTGCACAATACAAAAGAAAATCTCGATAATGTCTGTATGTTTGGTGATCTTGGTGATATCGTGTATATATACTTTTTTTTGTTTGTTCGTTTCGAATAGGTGTTTTCCACCGCACTGTCAATGTGATCGCTATTTTGATTCAATTTTTCTGTTTCACTCGGTCCATATGATACACAATACACTTATCGATAGATTCAATGTTGTGAAATCATTTCATACATTCAAAAATAAATACTACACACACAGTGTCTGCCTCACACATCACATCTTCGGTTTTGTTGTTTTTTTTTTTTTTATTTATGTTGAGAGTTATCTCAGCTCTATAAAGTTTCCGATTTTGCTCAACTTTCTGGTCAATATAAACCCAAATGAAACACCATACATTGATTTAAACGGCAACAAAATAATGTTTTCCAAAAATATGAGAAACAATTATAGATTGAACGAATATCTCGTAGTTTCTATTCGAAGTGAGAATAACAAAGCGCAAAACAGTTGTATTTCAGTTCGTATTAATCATGTGGTTGCAGTGTTGCTTTGTGTGCGTGTATGTTTCTCTCTTCGCTCTCTATCTCACACACTCTGTCTTTTTGTCTTTTGATTCTATATCAAAAAAGATTGATTGGCCGAACCAAAGAGATTCTCATCACGTATTGAAATATTTCGTTTTTTCTCTGTCGAATACAGTTGTCTTTTCTTTATTTTTCAATTTATTTGAATTTGATTTTTCACATCAAAAAAAATCACACATTTTCGGTACAGATAGACAGCATTTGGATAATTTGCTCAAGTTCATGTATATCGTCGTTGTTGTTGTATTTTTTCTTCAATACCTTCTCATGTCAAATCAGCTTCGGCTGCAGATTTCTATTCGGATTAACGTTAAAATACAATGACAAATGCACCAAATCAAACGCACACTGCCATAAATTCCAACCAACAAATAAAATTGTGCACACCAACAACACCAAATAGATACTACATAATTTGAATGTTGATGAAGTAAGGGAAAACTACCGCAAAAAACAACTCTAGTCTATTAGTTAAATCGCCTCGTTCGACAATTAGTAACCATCACAAAATATACACTCACTTTAATGGGCTCGATTGTTCATCGCCAGCACTAAATCACACATCATCATTGTTTCTCAACACATTTGATTCTTCTAGAAAAAATCTTTTTTCTTCTTTCTTTCTTGCCTTTTATTTTACCACATTGGAAAAAATAGAAAGTAATTTATTCACTTTATCCAAGTTTGCTAATATATCATCCACAAGCAAATTACGTTTTCGATTCAGATTCGATTTATTAGATTCGCGTTTTCAACACACAAAAACGAAATATTACAGCAGAAAAAAAATTGTTCACTTTTTCAGCTCCCAATTCACTCTCTCAGCTCAATATATATTTCTGTGTCTAAATATGTGTGTATTGAACTTTATGTCATACGCGCTCTATGTTTGTTTATCGTGTTGTTTTTCCATCTCGTTTTCACTTGTTCGCATCTGTCATAGGCGATAAACATGCACAATACACACTCATGCATATTTATATTTTGAACTGTGGAATTTGCAGCCAACATAGAAACAATGAAAATGTGAGCAAAGAGCGAGAAAAGAGAGAGGGAGAGAGACAAAGATTTAGTTTTTGCCTTGGGAGTATTATCCGATGCGATTGTACAGTCTTTCAACGCAAATCCATTCAATCCATGTACAAAGTCCAACTATCTGCTTTTTTAGTATTGCCATATTTGATTTTCTTTTTCAAATTGTATTTTTTTAAAGTGAAATTGCAATGCATTTTTTATTATTTTGGAAATGTAAAAAAAAACATTATTCCATATTAAAGGATTGAATTAAAATACGTAGGCGACTATTTAAGTTTCTTCAATATGTATGTTTTAGTATTGCCCGATGCAAACCATTGTCATATTCGTTAAGTTTAACATTTTGTAGCATAAACGTTCTCAGAACGTTTTGTCATTCGATCGTTATTTGTATTGTTTACAGTGACATCTAAATTGCGTCTCAGCCAAAAAATGAATTTTACTCGTGAAAATTTTCGTGCGATAATTTACTACGACTTTCGATTGGGTGTATCACAACAACAGTGTTTTGATCAACTTCATTTGGCCTTTGGCGATGAAGTACCAAGTCTTCGGACAATTTATAATTGGTACAACGAATTCAAGCGCGGTCGCCTATCGCTCATCGACGAGTTCCGCGAAGGTCGTCCAAAATCAGTTGTTGTACCAGAAAACATCGATGCTGTCAGAAATATGATAATGGAAGATCGTCATGTAACATATCACGAGATTGAGGCATCCCTGGGCATTAGTGCGACCAGCGTATTTAAGATTTTACATGAACATTTAGCTGTCAGAAAGATTTGCTCTCGTTGGATACCACATAATTTGACAATCGCTCAAAAAAAGGCTCGTGTCGATTGGTGTACACAAATGCTCAAGAAATTCAATCGTGGTGATTCAAAATCCGAGTATTTTATCGTCACTGGTGGCGAATCATGGATCTACGCGTATGAGCCCGAAACTAAACAGCAGTCGACTGTATGGGTCTTTCAAAGTGAAGATAACCCAACAAAAGTTGTTCGAGCTCGAAGTGTTGCGAAGCAAATGGTCGCCTGTTTTTTCGCGATAAGTGGTCATGTGGCAACAGTTCCACTAGAGGCTCGTAAGACCGTCAATTCTGATTGGTACACCACCATTTGTTTGCCCGAAGTGTTTGATGAAATAAGAAAAAACAACCGCCGTCGCAAAATAATTCTTCATCATGATAATGCGAGCTCTCACACATCTCATCAAACAGTCGATTATTTGACCGGTCAAAAGATCGATTTAATGGATCATCCGCCGTACAGTCCTGATTTGGCACCCAACGATTTCTTTTTATTCCCGAGCGTGAAGAATAAACTGCGTGGTCAACGATTTTCATCGCCCGAAGAAGCAGTTGATGCGTTCAAAACACACGTTTTGGAGATATCACTTTCGGAGTGGCATGAATGCTATGACAAATGGTTCGAGCGAATGCAAAAGTGTATTGATCATCATGGCGAATATTTTGAAAAACAATAAAACCATTTTCGATGAAACCCCATTGTCTTATATATGTTTTTGAAAAAACTTAAATAGTGACCCTCGTATAAATATGAGCGAAAATATAAATAAAATATGAGATCATGGGATCACCTGCAGAATATTTTAAGCAAATTGACAGCAAGATTCAAATTGACAGGAGATTTGTTGACCGTGGTAGTTGAACATCGAGTTATTTAGTTTACCTGACTGAATCTTAAATCCATTAAATTACATTTTAGATTTCCAGTCCAGAATACACCTGTAAATCGGATGACAAAATTAAACAATGATAGCGGTACCAAAACCAAAACTTGATTTCAATATTTATTGTAATATCACCTACAAGAATATTCGATCTCGACAAAAAAACTCCTTGTTGAAAATCAATTGTAGAATAACGATTTCGACGTGATTACCCAAAAGTATTAAATAATTATTTAATATCAACTGATTTGCTCCAATACACGTAAATCGAATCTTGATTTCAACAAGGTGTCCAATATCGTTCTGATGTAATATTTTATTAGATCAAAATCGAAATACTTGGATTGCTTCTTCTATAAAAAGTCTAAACCTATTAAATGGAATATCAGTAAAATCGAAATTTACTAGATTTATTTGAGTTTTGCCTATTTGTTCACAGTATTTTTTTAACAATAGCAAAACCAAATTGCTGAATGAAAAGTGTTAAGAAGTAAGAGATAAATTTATATGTAAAAAAAATCAAATAAAATTAATTAAAAATATTTTTTCTTTGCTGAAATGTTTCGAACCGAAAAAAATGACAAATAAAACGCAATTTTTTTTAATTCAATAATAATAATTATTATTTCATACAAAGAGAAATTTGCTTGTATGGTAAATTGATTTTACAATAATTCTTTTTTAGATCTCTTTTTTTATTAGTTACATTCTTCGTTCATTTCTTCCCTTAACAGACACACACTGCTTGAATGTATTTAGTGGTTGGTTTGCGTTAGATGTTTTTTCTTCTTCTTTATTTTATTATATAATTCATCAATCGTTTGAAATCGACTTCATATAAAGTGTCAGCCCGTCTTGCGAACCGCTTTATTATTTGTTATATTTTTTTTTCTTTTTTGCATTTTTTTTTGTTGCTTTTTGTGTAAATGAACGAAAAATTTGTTTCGGTTATATCATCATTTCTATTAAAGATGCATTTCATTAGCAAATGTGCTTAGCCTAATTTAAAAAGGACTGATTGACACAAATGACTTGAATTATTATTTATTACTTTTGTTTTCTGTGTGTGTTTTAAAAATGCTGCATTTTTTTTTTCTCTCTCGCTCTCTTCTATTAAATATGTATAGGGACTATGTTGTTCTATGCCATTGTTATTGTTTTATCAGCTAAGAAGTTATTTCAAGAGGGCTCAAAATCCCAAACGTCATTTCAATGAGGATCGTTTAATCGAATACAAAATGCCGGTGCTCAAGAATGAATACATATATTTAGTGCATTCTTCCATTTAACTGTTAGCTTGTCAATTTGATTAAATTTCATTTTGTTTTTTTTTACATCGTGATTATTATAGAAACTTTGTTTGCTTTCCGTGTCGTGATTTGGTTTTTGACCAATATGTTGTTTTTGTAATAATTACTCTTTTTTTACACGTAGGTCTCGGGTAAACAATGAAAATAAGCGATGGATTTAAACAATATTATATCATTTATCGAACGGTTTTTCTTTTTATTTTGTTCGATTCTCATCAACATTATCGAAATGATGAGTCCAGTCATATCACTGCCCCAACAAATTCACCAGCAAGGGGAAGAGATTGCGATGACTAAAATTCACTTAAATATAAATCGCTAGAGCACTTCATCTATATTTTAAATGGATGTTTGAATAATGGGACTACGCTGACAAAATATTGGAGAAATCAAATTGGCGTTGTTCAGCGCATCAATATGGTACGGAAATAAGGTGTTTATTGAACGACTGTGACTCCCTTTTTCTCACTTGAATATATCAATGTATAACGTACATAAACTAAAAAAAAAACATAATTGACCATAAGAATTTATATATGTGTTTTGGATTGAATTGAATTTTAATTTACGATCTATAGAAATAGTGATAGGAAAATTCAAATAGTTGGAAAATAAACAACTGTGTGCCCTGACACTGTCAACATTGCGATGACATCACAATGATCAACAAAAATTAAATCTAACGTAGTCAAACGAATGGGAAAAAATCGTATTGTATATAAAATCACACATATACAACACATATAGTAACAGATGATGTTCGAAATTACTTCCTCAATTTTTAATTTCTTTTTTATTAAAAAATGATTTAATGACGATTTCATTCCAGTTCGTTGCACATTGACTGTGTTCAACTGTGTTCTAAGAATCTCAGATTCATTAATGTCTGTTTCATTTACTTGTTCCAGTTTGTTCCACATTGACAACGTTTGATGGAAGTGTACAGAAAACCCGATACATTATTTCAATTATTCATGCGGTGTTTTTTTTATTACAATTCATTTGATTTTTGTTTTATTATTTTTTTTGGTTGCTTTCATTTCTTTCATCAAAAATTGTTTCATCTTCTTCGCACACACAGTATAAAACCATAATCTATACTTAGTATTTTTCGGAGACATTCTACGATATGGCCATAGTTTACTCAGGGTGGCCCAACAAAATATGCTATTTATTTGTCGCTTGTGTTTGTTCATACGCCAGTTGTAATCTTCCATCGTATTTCTTATTAATCTTCTATGCATATCGTATGTGTTTCTTCGTTCAAAGTTTTATATATATTCTTTTTTTTGTTGTTGTTGCTTTTCTATCAATTATTTAAATTTGTTAAGCTAAGAAAATTTGATGGATTTCTTTTTTTTTATTATATTGGTGATGATTTCTATCACTCATTACAACTTTTTAGTTGTTGATGTTGTTGTTGTTGCATTTTTTCTGTTGTTCTAGCAAAAAAAAATGTTTTGCGGCAGGGCTATAAATGAATTTCTATATATGTAATAACCGCATATATTATTATCATAGAATGCATTCAATTTAAGTGAGCTGGTTATTTGCAATTGAATGCATCAATGCTTAATCAAGTGAATAACATGCTTCACAAATTCTATCATCCCCCAAATTTTTCTTGAATGTGTGTCACGAAAAAAGGGGGAAAAAGTTGCTTTTTTTAATTTGTTTTGTTGCTTTCGTTTGAGGATGTTGGTTTTTGATTCTTTTATTCATGTTAACCAAGTTATTATATTACTTTGTTGCTTTGAATTTATGGCTAATAAAACATGTGGTTTTTGTTTCTTTTTATTCGGCCTGTATTACTTATCGTACATAAGTTTAGTTTTTTTTTTTTTTTGTTTCATTATTTTCTGCTTCGGTTAAATCGAAATTTTGTTTAATTATTTTGAAACATGCAATCACTTTGCTTCTTGTCGAAAATAACAAAAATAATTCATTCTTTGCTTTGTTTCCGTTTGTTTTTGCTAGTTAAAAGAGTTTCATTTAGCAGAAAAAATGTTGTTGTTGTTGTTTATTTGTTTTACTTTTATTATGAAAAGTGATTTTGTTTCTTTCCATTTTGTTTTATTTCAATAATTTATACATACACTAGAGAAAACAATGTTTCCACGCTCACCTCACTAATCGTCGCCGCAGCCGCCGCCGACCGAATCATAGTTTTCTAATTATCATTTTTTTTGTGTGTGTATATTTTTATAACATATCTCGCCCGGTTTTCGTCGTGTGTTTACAAAATTTTACAAACAAAACAGAAAATAATATGGTTCAGAAAAAAAGGAAATCTCTTTCTCTCTTTTATCGCATGCGATTGTTCGTTAGTCTCTCTGTGTGACGTGCATGTGAGCGTGGGGGTATCTATTATTGTTATTATTTGTTAAACGCAATTTTTTTTTTAAATTTTTTTGATATTTCTTTTTTTAAACTCAATTTAGTAAAAATGGCATACGAATCCGTTTCCTACTACTAAATTACTTGAATTTTTTTTTGTTGTTGTTTGTATCTTTGCATCAAATGTGTTTTTTCTTTGTTGCTTTTTTTGCAATTTATCTATGTATAAAATCAAAACAATTTGAAATTTTGTTTGAGAAAAAAAAAGTTCTTTTCTTTTGTTTTTTTTTGTTTTTGTATGTAAGTATGAGTTTTTTGAGTGTATAATATGCTGCTTTTTCTCCTAATAATCCTTGGTATGATCTCTAATTCCATTTTTATATAAATTATGTGTAATTCACGTTTTTGGATGCTATAATTTTGTTTCGGCTTTTGTTGTTGTGTGTATTAGGTTGTTGGGTTTTCTCTCAGCAGCAAATGGGTTTGTTCTTAACCCAAACTTGGGAAATCATGCTCATCATCGACTTTTGGTGCATTTTGACGGCGATCATCCTTTAATTTTTATTTTATTTTCGTGTAAACATAACAGAAATGGATAATATTTAGCATAATTTTTCGATTGTTATATTAGCTAGACGTTATTTAATGGGATACTTACGAAACGTTGTCCCCGATCTTGACGGTTGCGATATGATGGATTACGGCGACGATTGTTGTTGTTATTGTTGTTGTTGTTGTTGTTGCTGCTGCTGCTGTTGTTGCTGTTGTTGTTGCTGCTGCTAGTGTTAGCAGTTGCGTTAGCGTTGGCATTAGCGTTGACATTAGCATTGGCATTAGCATTAGCATTAGCAGTAACATTTGCAGTTGGTTTCTCATTTCCATTGACCACGGCGCTATAAATAAATATATATCATCATCAGATCAATTCTATAATTCAATTTTCAATTCTATAAAATCATTTTTTTTTTTCGAATTTGAACCAAATGAAAAACTTTCAGTTTAACAATACAGTCCGTTTTTTTAAAATACATTTTTTTCTTTATTGTCAATTCAACAAATTTGATAATAAAAAATAATATGTCGCAAAAAAGTACTTACCTAGCAGTTTGACTGTTTTCATTTTCACTTCCGTTCCATGTGCGTTGACCACGTGGACGACCTCGTCTTCGGTTAACACCACCACGTGGACCATCATTGAAATGAATGTCGATATCAACGAATTTCTGGCGTCCTACCCGTTGCGGATACATGGATGGATCGTATTCATATTCCTCTTCGCTTTCATCAGACTAAATATTGAAAGAAAAATATATTTATATAAATAAACGAATAAATAATAAGCGTTCATTCATTGCAATAAAATTGAATGATAACAAAAAAATGAATGCAAACAAACACACAAATAAAATGTGATGCCATACCTTCTTCTTTCGGTTATCAAGAGCAATCATTTTTTTCCATTGTGATGTGTCCTCGCCTTCTCCAGCTTTTCGAATGTTGTATTGTGGTTTGGCGCGTTCAGCTCTTTGAGCTTTCCATTCATCCAATGTAATTTCTTTGGCCTCTTCTTCAATTTGTACCTGTTCGTTAGCGTCCTTGCCATTTTGTTCAGTATCAACTTTTGCATCACTGTTATTAGCCTTGTCTTCCTTTTTCTCATCATTGTTATCATAGCCTTTTTGATAGTCATCGATATCCTGTTTGTGTGTTCCCCAATTGTGAGCGCCAGCACCGTCGCGTTTGTCAACAGCTTTTACACCAGTTTTATCCGAGCCAGATTGACGATCAAATTCACGTTTGCCAAATTGTCGACGATTTTGTCCACGGTCATTTCGATTACCACCACGATTTCCGCCAGCATTTCCATCAACATTGTTCAACGGTTGATTTTCGCGATTTTCACGATTTTTTCGATTGAATCGTTGCTCACGATTCTCGCCATTTTGCTGTTGCTGTTGTTGTTGTTGTTGTTGTTGTTGTTGTTGGTGGTGGTGGTGGCCTACATCAGTTTTCCGTTCATTGTTCTTATTGTCCTTACCTGAGTGCATTCCAACATTTTGAATAGTTAAAGAAGAGAAAGAAGAAAAAAAACAAACAAACAAAATTCACAATCAGAAAATCATTTATCAAATCGATGTGAAAAAAGAAACATTCAAGCAACATGAAAATTGAATCAGAGAGCCGACAACGGTGAATATAAGAAACATATAGCCGTAGACGAATTAAACGAAATGTCGTTATGTATGTTATTACTAATCAAGTGCATTTGTGCCCATATTCGTATATAATTTTTTTCGCATTTACACAGCAGTGAATATGACCAAAAATAGTCGTATTAGCTCTGGAAATGTGTTGAAATGTCGCACATTTTCGGTGTAACGCACATATTTATTTTGTGATTAATTTTTTACTCTAATATGGATACATTTTGACTGGTTTTTCGTTGGGACCATGAACTGATGCGAACACAGCACCAGAAATGGTATATTTCAACATTAAATTATTTGCGACGTGCAAACACATTATTTACGGACCGTTGGGAGTTCAACTCTTGATTTATGTATGCTTGTACGATGTCGATCTACATAAATGCGCGCACGGCGGTACTCTGTATGTCTGTTGGCGCGCCGAACATCAATAGAATAATGAAATAAAAAGAAGATTTCTGCGGTAAAGGCAGAAACGTGCAAAATGTAGCAAAAGAACATGAAAAGAAGAGTGGAAGAGAGAAATGCAAAAACAGAAACAAAAATAAAGAGTATGCACAACAACAGAGACTGCTTAGAAAAGAAATAATATGTGAATAGAATGAAGACACACAAAAAATAAAATAAACGAAAATGAAAACGAAAGACGACAAAAATGAGCTATATGTATGTAATACTCGAGTGAAAAAAAAATTATACCCAATGAAATGTGCTATATTCGAAGAAAAGACCGACGGAATGTAAAAATGTGTGTGTCTGTGTATGAGTATAAAACAAAAATGTGTGAGACTAACCTTCACGTGGTCCTCCTCGATCGTTGCGGTTATTATTTGGTTGACCATTTTGATTAGATGCGCCGCTTTTAGCCGATTTTCCAGTAGAGTTTGGTTGTTGAGCCTTTGTCGATGCCGATGTATTCGATGCCTTGTTTGTGTTAGCTGGCTTGTTCTCCTTTTCAACAGCTCCTAAATGATTATCATTCAGTTCCATTTATTTATTGCATTGCAATGGAAATTTGGATAGTGAATGGCAGACATGGATGAGATAAAGGAGATAGGAAAGAGATAGGGAGAGAAAAAAAATGAAATAGTTAATGAACAAATTGTTTGGTTTTTTTTGCTCGAATTCATATGGTTAATTTGGCGCAACTGTCATCATCAATACTCAGGGCGATTGCAATAATGTGCTCATAATAACATATACACCGAGGATATTTTCGAGATAATAACATATACTACATTAATGAATTGTACAATCATTTGGTTCCCCTTGTATTTACGCTTCAAGTGTGAGAGAAATGCGAATAGCGATAACAAAATTGTAAATTGAGAGACACCAAAGCAAATATGTATTTTGCAAATGGATTTATCATTATTTTTTCATACTATCGAAATGAAATGGTTAATTGTACGATTTTTTAATATTTGATTAAAATGTAAATTTCGTTTCGAGACAGGTTTTTCTTCTTTTGTTGGATAATAATCATATTACTGCTATTAATTTTCTACTTGCTTTATAACCTTCGATCACGTTAGATTTTTTTCATTGCTTCACATACACATCAATAAACGAATGAACACACATGCACGAGCACACGATTTTCTTGAAAAGATTTTCCTTTTGCTTTTCCGTCATACGAAAACGTTGGTAATATCACAGTTGAGAGAAATGAATGAACGAAATAAAAAAATGAAGAAAAAAGCAAATTGAATTTCTTGTCACCGAACAGGCAATAGCACATTGTGCATAAACTTAATAGGTATTGCGTCCAATTCTTTACCGTGCGCTTTTTTTTTTGTTCAGTTCTCAATTTTAAATCTCATTTTGGAATCTCTTAGGCTCGTCCGCCTTCGATTTATTCAATATTTTAATCGCTTTTTTTCTGCCTGCTCTCGTTTCATTTAAAAACGATGACATGCTCTCTCGCATACTTATTTTTTTAAAACTATATATAGGTGTATATCAAAACGTTAATCACACTTTGAATATAAGCACGAGAGAAAAAATATTATGATAGAATTATATTTTTTGGTTCGTTTTTTTTTTTGGTTCAATAATTTTTTTTTCTGTAATCGATTAAAACAAAGGCCACTGAATTAGTATTGATATTAACTTGTTGTTTAAATTGTCAATTAGCTAATTAATTCAATAGAACGAAAAAATGATAAGTTGAATTTTAAAAGGAATGCAAAATGAGTTTTTTTTTCTCTTAAATTCGTACCACCATTAGCCGCTACAGTTGCAGATGCTGCTGTTTTTTTCTGTTGTTTTGCTTTTTTAATTGATTTATTTGTGGCGGATCCAGCCTCTTCGTCCACATAAAACAATTCGTAGCGATTTGCAATGCCAATGCCGTACGAATTTTCCATTTTTTAGGCGTTTTTTAACGGCGATGATGTCCGATTTTTATGGATATTGTACTACAATAAAATTTTAACAAAATTTACCGATTTTTATTCCCAAGGAGGAATTCAATATCGATGTGTGAGAGAAGACGTACTGCTATGGGCACCACAGAGACAACGAAAACTTCGTTTCTCACGCATACATTGACATGACCATTACCACTTCATACATATATACCGTATAGCTATTCGTGTAAGGCCGTAAGGTATCGCGCGCGCAGTTTTATTTCGTACAGTTGCGGTTAAATGTGTGCGTGCGATTTTTCTCTCTACCTCAACATTTTATGCTCTCGCACTCTCTCAGGCACATAGTCGGCGCAGTCGTATCAGCGATCAAAATATGCCATAATCGATGTCCCCAATAGCATTTTTCGCAAACAATTCGAAACGTTACAACAATGTGAACGAATTAATTGTTTAAATATTTCATTGAAATTGTGAAAAATATTCAATTATCACATGGTGCTCATTGAAATAATGTCATTTTAAGCATTGTCTTTGACATTTTGAATGTAAACACAATGCTTTTTCCACTGTGTGACAGCTACGGAATTGCTGGTAGGGTCAATCAATGGTGTAGCTTACAAAAGAAGGTAAAACGTGAGAATGTGATATAGATAGAGAGAGAATGAAAAGAAGCACGATGTCTTCGAACTAGTGCTGCCGCTTCTCAGTTTTCTGGCAAACGAACGCACTATATGTTCACATGTCGTTGCGGTCGTTCGGTTTGACGGATATTTTGTACATGCCAAAAAAAAACCATTTGACAAGAGGAAATTGCGATCTCTCTCACACAGGCTCTCTCCCATCATATCATGAGCAGCGAGCACATTGTCTGAACTCAAAAGGCAAACACTCTCTCATATGAAAAATGAATGAGTTTAAAACTAACCTCATTTTCAATATTTCATTTCTGATATAAACAAATGTGTGCGCGTGACATGAAACGCGTTCGTCCAGACGGTGGCCGAATGATGAATTTAAATACGTTATTTGAATTACTGCTTCACTCAATATTGATACAATAAAAATTAATGAAACAAAAAAACTGATGGAATTGGATTTGTTTGTTTTTGTTTTATTTGTATTGGATTTAATTAAAAACTAATGCAACATTCATGGTTAAATCCACCCACAACAGGCACTTATTATCTATTCTCTTTTTTGCATTATTCATAGTAATTCTAAATTTCATTTAAGTAGACAACATTTGTTTATTGAGGCAAATTTTTACGTTAGTGGTAGGCACATGCAAATTTAAAATTACCACGTTGATCATTGACATGTTTTGAGACGTTAAAAGGCAGAATTTTTCTCAAAAAAATTAGAACGACGAAACGGATCGGATTAATGACAAATTCTTAAAATAACGAACGTTGAACTCTCGTGTATTTTTGTTTCACCCAATCGCTCTCGATTCCAAACTTAAAACTTAAACTTGTAAATGCACTCAAAAACGAAAAATTACTTGGTTTTCATTTAAAAAAAAAAATATGAATACGTAAAACGGTAACTGATTGACTTATAAATGTTGATATGGCTTAACAACGTATATGCATATCGAGATTAACTCTATAAAACTATATCATTAAGTGGCTCATAAGGAAATATACCCAAATATCATCGGCGGTGAAGTTAGTTTTCATCTACCAGAATGATGAGAATAGCCGCTGCTTTGAGGACGAAGAGAAAAAAAACGGAATTTTTTTAAATTTTGGTTTTGAACGAAAAAAACTAAACATTTTTAAAAACTTACGCCAACTGATGAGCCAGAACCATTGCTAACTTCAGAATGGTGTCCATAACCTTCTCTGTGACGTGATGCAAATGTTGATACTGTGTTCTTAACACGTTCCGATGCGGCCACCTCTTCACCATCGTTGTTCAACAGTGATGTTTTCATCGTATCGTTAACGAACCACTTTTGTTGTTTCATAACAATTGTTTGTGGTGGCTCGTGAGTGACACCGGTGTCTGAACTCCATACGGTAACATTACCATGTGGTTCAATTTTGACGGAACGGTGAAATTTAAAATTGGTCTCATTTTGACCTGCTGTACGTAACAATTGCCAATTGCCCAAACTGACTTCCTGCCAAATCCAATCAAAATAAATTTAATTTAAATTCATAACAGAACGATGTATATTTAAGAATTTTATTGCAATAACACAAACCTTTTCGCCTTTGTTGTACAATTTAACAAATTTTCCTTCTGGATCGAAATCGGAAATTTCAATATCACCTTTTGCCGATGATGTAACGGAGAAATCGGAAAGTGAACGTTCTTCGCTTTCATCGATGGTTGTACGCTTTCTTTTGCCACTTGGACCGACCGAAAGACGTGGGCTTGGAGTAACAGCAATGCTTGGTGTAATTCGACCTGAACGATGATGATGTTGATGCACCGATGTTGAACCGGATGAATTGTTGGTGGTCTCGAGTGATGAGCCTGGACGTGTGATATTCAAACGTTGCTCTTCACCGGCCAATAATTTATCGTATGCGGCCAATTCCATATCGAGTGATATCTTAATGTCCATCAGATCTTGATATTCTTGTAATTGTTGGGCCATTTCTTGGCGTAAACGAGATAGTTCATTCTCGAGTTCAGCACGACGACCAATTTCAGTTTCCAATTGAGCTTCCAAATCGCCAATTTTGCTGGGAATAAGAAGAAAAATATTTACCAAATTGTTCAATTGATCAAAATTCAACTGTATATACCTCTTAAGAGTCGAATTTTCGGCTTCAAGATCGTTAATTTTACCATGCAAACCGTTGAGTTGTTGTCGTGTGATGCGAAGTTCATCGAATGCAGCACTGGCCGCACGATTTCCTCGAGCCGCTTCATTTTGAACATTCTTCAATTTTGCATCCCACAAAGAATCGACCTCTTCGCGATTGGCACGAATTTGATTCTCATATTGTTCACGTAATTCACGTAGTGATTGTTGCAATTTTGCTTCGTACTGTTCGGCAAGTCGGCCATCAATTTCGCTAATTTCAACCTGAGTACGTTTACGTGTGTCGGTCAATTCTTGTACATGGACTTGATCACGGAATGCCAATTCTTCGCGTAAACTTTGGGCAGCATTTTCACGATCAACACGTGCCAATGTTTCGGCTTCAAGAGCCTTACGCAAATCATCCAATTGACGTTTCAATCGATCGATTTCCTTTTGCAATTCTTTTGCTTCATCAACAGCTCTCTTGCGATCCAAACATGCCGAATTATATTTGTTTTGAATGTCATTGTAACGCGATTCATACAAACGACACAATTCCAATTCTTTGCGTTGCTTCTCCAAACTGAAAATACATATAGAAGAATTGATTAAACAACATTTCTTCACTCCAAACAACTTCGTGAATAATTTTCGTAATTTTATGACTATCTTCATTTAGACCTTTCTGCGTAATATTTTATGATTCCAAATTGCTAACATAATTGACGATAAATTAGAGTTTTTTTGACAAGGAAATTAATGACATTAATTACAGTCCAATGCTTTAGAGCAAGCATTGTTCCTTTCTCCATCTCTGTCTATCTTTCTCTTACGTGAGACTCTTCCTTTCGCAAAAAGTGAATGAACCAAATGTTGAATTCACAAAGAATACGCGGCATATGAATCACATATACAATGTGATAGTTTGTTTTGTTGTTGTGCGTGTTTATCAATAGAGGATGATGTCACTCAAAGTAGCAGCAATAGGCACCAACATCATTAACCTTCGTTCAAAATAAAATACACACACACACCATACATTCCATGAATTTTCGGCTATGGAAATGGTCAAAATGTAAATGAATGCGCGAAAAATGATCAAAATATACAGAAATGTATGCGAGTATAAGCGTGTGAACGACGAATAACAGAGAAAGCGCGCGTAAGTATGAATTCAAATGTGAGTGTGTGTGTGTGTGTCTTTTGCCAATTGTAAACGGAACATTAAACAAATGAGGTAATCTTTTGATTCGGATATTTCATTATAGAGTAGAATATTCTCATATATTTCTCTGCTTAATTCAATGAAATGAGTTAATTTGGATTTTGGTACGGCCACAAGACATTGGCAATGTGTTATAAATCTTTGCATATATTGCCCATTAAAATGGTGGAACCTTTTTTTTTGAAATGTTTCTTTTGTTTGATGACGTCGAAAGGGACAGAGAAAGAAAAAATCACAAAACGATGATATCAGTTCTTTAAAAAAAAATTGTGTCAATACCATGTATGACACATAATATTTATAGTGGCTGCCTACGAAGGGATCACATCTGGAATGTGTCATTTACATAATTTATTTTTCACAAAATATTTGATAAGGTATTCAATAAAAACACAGGAAAAATGAATATTCCATAAAAGAAGGTTGTTGGCAGAAGAAGAACAAATATTTAACCAGTTTGTTATTAACTTTTGATGATGATGATGATAGCACGCCTATGCATAATAATTTTTTTTCTGTTTCCTGGAATTCCATGAATATTGTAGGTTCTCATCAAATATTTTCATACCAAAAGTTAGTCTCTGATAGAATACGGTAATGTACACGAGATTCCATTTATGCCATTTACCGTGACGATTTTGCCTTTTATTTCTGTTCACATTTTGTGGTAAAAAATAAACTATGTAAATAAAACTGTCTAATTCAATAAAAATATGTGCATGCTTGGTTTCGATTATAGTATTTTGATTGAATAACAGCTCAGTGTGCGCTGTGTATCGCTCTGTGTATGCCTGTATAATATTTATGTGACATTTATTTTGGTGATGGGCGAAAAATTAAATCAAAATAAAAGAAAAAAAAAATGAGAAACGATATAGGAAATATAAAATGGGATTTTGATAAATTGAGACAACAATAATCGTCAGGAATGGAATTCGAAACTATGTCAAAATGTGTTTAAAAATATGACAACCTTCAAACGCAAAAAAAAAAACATTCTGTCCACCGGCTTTGACGATATTAATCAAAAGAAATCGCACACATATTCCCTGCATTTGACATGGTATTTGTGTGACACTATGCGATTCATTCGAAAACCTAATTAACATGCACAGAAAAAACCACCACTACGAAAAAAAGAAAGTAAAACACATTTATTGATATTGTCAATTTGTTTTGGCGGACAAGAAAAACGCACACACAAAGGGATGGAGAGAAAGAGAGAGAGAAAGAGGGAGAGACAGCTTGAAAGAATAAAATGATGATATCATCGTTACTCATATCGTGTGTACAGAAATTAAAGCAGCAGTACACCACGAATACAGACAACAAACAAGAATTAATCAACACCAAATAATAATAATAAACAAGCATGTGGTTCAAAACGTACTTCAAGCACACATTTTCAATGACGCACATTTGTTGTCTTGATATTCGATTTCTATTTTTACGGCAGATAATTTGGTAAAAAAAAGAGAGAACAGAACTCTCCAAAATGGATATATGTTTTATCCCATTTGATGCATTACATTTGGATATGCTCAAACGACACATTTTCTGTTCACTAACGAACTGCGCTTTGAACGTTCAAACTAAAAGCAGTCATAATTCAGAAAAGTCTAATTGGATTCGTGGCAAAATGACAGTCAAATAGATTATTATTGAATCCTTACGCTTGTTTCAAGTCATCATTTTCCTCCGACAAACGTTTGATGTTGATCTCCAGCTTGGCCTTTTCACGTGCTGTCTCATCGAGTACTTTACGTGCATCGGCCAATTCATTTTCGTACATCTATAGAGAAAGAAAAAAGCAGAATATGCAATCCAATATGAAACGAATGTCGAATTACACAATTCATCGAAATAGCTCTGATTAATTTACCGATTTGATATTGGACGATTCACGAGTCACTGTTTCTTTAACAGTTTTCACTTCAACAACCAAACGATTATTTTCAGCTTCAAGAAAACGTACACGATCGATATAGCCGGCCAATCGGTCGTTCAATGATTGAAGTTCTAATTTCTCCGAAATACGCGAATGACGGGTCGGACTTTGTGTACGATGTCTTGGTGTGGATGCTGCATCTGGTGCAGTTTGCGATAATCCACCTTCTGATGCTCTGCTACGTGTTGCCATCTTATCTTTTTCTCAACAATTTCTGCCAATTTAACACGAAAACAACAAATTCTTCTTGGAAAAATTTGACAACTGACTCTTTTTTCTAGTAAATTCTTTGCACGAAATGAATCTTTGATTTTGATTCTGAGTTTAAAAAAAACACTACAAAATATAATTTTTGGGATCGATTAAAGAATGTTAAAAAAAACACAATATATTTTTATCCGGAACTAAATAGTTGCGTTGAAATTTTAAAAAAATGCTTTGAGACGATATTTCCACAAATGCCAAATGTTAACTAACGAAACTTTTCCAAATTCAATTCGTATCAACCTTAGTATCAACGGACACATATACACATACGACCGACCAACCGAACGAACGAAACGAAACAAAATGTTAACGGCATTTTGTGAGCAACGTTTTCAAAGCGTTGAATAAACGAAGTAAGCGAACACACAGCCAGTGCTACCATTTCAACAGTAGCGCGTACAGCACACAAAAGTATTTCGTATTGTATGTGACTTTTGAGTTATAAGATTTTTTTGGCATTACATTGACACAGCGAAGCGAGCTGTGACTTTTAGCCGCTTATTGCTTGTGTTTGTATATTCATCTATATTTCTCCCTGAAATGAAAAACAAAAAAAAAGGTTGTCTGATATATACAAACAAAAGAGCATCCAAAACGCTGTGGCCTCAACACACCACCATTCTGTACACTTAAACAAGTGAAAGAAGTGGAAAAAAAGCAACAAAAATCCGCGTTCCGCATCAAAACAACAACTACATTTGAACATTTTTCATTGTCATTCCGATACCCGAACGAACATACGAACGAAAATGTAAATGTGTTCTTAATGAAGAATATTAATGTGATGGATATGCAAAATAATATTTATTATTATTGTTGCCGAACGATATGCCATCGACTAATCGACAAATCGCTAAAAATACGGTTTACGTCATTGATACGATACTTTCTAGTGTGTATCGTGGTGGATATTATGTCATCAATAGAGTTAGACTTAATATTTCGACTAAAATTTACGATTTACTTCGACATTCTTTATGCGTGCACGTGTGCGTGTGTGTATGTATGTATGTATGTCGTGATTTGTGGTCTTCTTCGTTCTGCCTTTTTAAAAAAACTTGAAACGTACACACCAACGCTTGATTTGAATAGCATACCGAATTTACCTCTTATCTTCATATCTTTTCGGTGCACACTAATAAGTTAAATATGGCACACCGCAGTAGATCCATTTAAATGTGATCGTTGCATGCGATTCATCGCAATATAAAAAGAATCGTTGCTAGTTTTTCTATTTGGATTTTTCTATCGCTCATATGGCACACAAAACCCAAACATTTTTTTTTTCATTTATTTTTAGCACACATTAAAACGATAAAAACAAAACCTAAGGGTAGAGTCGCGTAGGGGATCGATGATTTCATTTTTGTTCACAACCAGTGTATATCGCATCTTTTCTTCAACATTTTCCGATGATGACGCAAGATTTTTCGTAACGCACATATGTTTATTTGTTGAAATATGAGTCTCGCTTCGATACACATTCAAATACAAACAACTTTCAAGTTGAAACCAACCGACGACAATAGTTTTAAATATAAAAATGCGTTGAATTTTGAATGAACGCACGCGATGTTGTAATATAACATGTGTGCCGCCGTGCTAAGTCCAAAGAAAAATGTACGCGATTCAAACGAACGTTAATGAATGGGCTCTCAGTTTTCAATGGGACATGTTGTATTCGGTCACAGGTAGGCTTGAACATTCAAATGAGATAACCTCATTCATTCATGCCCATAAATCACCGAAAAAAGGGATCTTGCGTGAACTGAGTATGACGAACGAAAGAGGAAAATAAAAATAAAAATTCATTCAATCAATTTGTTGTAAATAAATTTTGAACTTGAACTGAATAGAGAGACAGCGAAAGAGCGACACGATCAGTTGCTACTATGGTCACCCACGCTTTCTTTACCAACCATTTCAATTAAACATACAATTGGTCATTTGAAACATTTTAATATTTTATAATTTATTTAATTGTTTTGCACGATATATCGTGTATTGTCTTCATTTCCAATAAATTATTAAGTTTTGGATGTGTTGACATCCATAACGCTTTTTGTTATTAATTGTCAGTGTTTTTTTTTTGTTTGTTTTATCTAAGCAATATTGTTTGGTAATTCAATAAAATTTCCTATGATGCCAATCGCTAATTTGGGAAAACATGTTAACATCTCAATTAATTCATTTTTTTGTTTGTGAATAAGGAAGTAACTTTAAAATGAATTTTTAAAGTTCAGTTTTTCCTTTTAAATTTCGTCGTTTATAGTTTCCCAAATTTTCGATAGGCGCAAAAAGAATTTTCGCCACATAACATTTATTTCGGTGTTTTAATTGATTGATTTGATCTATGCGCGCGCGTGTGTGTGTATGTTCGGATCTAGGTTTGAATGTTTATAGTTGGTGTTATATGGGGAAAAAAGGGACACGTACAATATACACAATAGTAACTGCCTACAATTTGGCTATTTAAAAAAAAAAATACCGAAACAAAAAAAACTCATCATCGCTATCATGAAACAGGTCAATTTCATCGTTTCCGCATATATATATGTATTTGATAACGTGCCCATATACAACAATATCCTTAGTGAAATAGTGTTTGAATATATAATGATTTTTGTTTCTGTATGGCCATTTTAATGCTGGCCCGTTGTTCGGAATTATCAGATTGAATTTTTTTTCCTTTAGAATATGCAAATTGTTTTCAGATCGTGCGTTCATTGAAGTTCCGAATTATATTTTGCGGACGGCGCTTAAAACTAAATGTGAAAATGTGATAACATCATTGAACTACATATGCCTACCAACAAAACGGGATTTGCACTATATTGGAATCGAAATACACACCAAAAAACACATGTAATCCGTTGTTATTCTTTCTCAAAAGTTTCGGGTCAAATTAATAAATGTATGAGTGTTTGAATTGATATCCTATTTCACAAATATTAGATTTTAGATTGGACTTGGTGATGGTATGTAGTATTACAGGTGAAAATATTCTATGCTCTCATTCATGCACCTCCCACCATTTCGTTAACAACTTTTTTTGTATTTGGTTTTGTTTACTTGTGTAAAAATGTTATATTTTCTTTGTTTAAATAATACTAAATATTTCATTCGAATTAGTTGCTTGTTCAATTTCGGCTGGAGTTTCCATCTTCTTCCGCGGCATATTTTCTATTTTGCGAAATCAATGGTGATTTTTTTTTCTCTTCTACTTTTTCCAATCTCGTGTTATTGCTTTCTTTCATGCACCTCGAATCATTTAAATCAACATTTAATTGGGAACCAAAATCAAAAATTGAAACAACATAATCAATTTTGATTTCAAGTTCGAATGAATTAGGAACAATAGATTTGAATATATATACGATATGCTTTTTCTTCGGGGATACAAGTTTATCGACTAAATGGTTTTGTGTGAGTGTTTATGTATGTGTATTGTGTAGTACACAGTATAGTTTGAGCTTATTTCAAATGATCGTCTATGTAAATCGATTGGCAATGGCCATCAGCTGAACATATGAACGATTGTAAGATGCCTATCTCTCTTCTTATTGAGATTTGACTGCAGTAACAACTCATCGAGAACAAAATAAAATGAAACAGTTACTAATTCTAGAGGGTTTCAAATTTCATTTGATATCGATTAAAATACAGAATACGGCATGTTTGTGTTGCTACGTGGGTGTGTATTGTCCATTTTTTTTCTTTTATAAACTAATTACATAAACAATCTTCAGTTTTCTTTTTTCATTAAACCTTCTAATATATGAATTTGTTCCAACACAGGAAATTACAATAATAATAAATTTCGGTTTTTATTTTCATTTCTTCATCAGCAAATTGTCAATAAATTATAATCCGTTTTTGTTTGCTTTCATTCATTTAATATGGATTCAATACTCTTTTTTTTTCTTGTAAAACTATTCTTCTTTACCATACATGTCATATTATTTCAAATCTTATACACAGTTTTCTCTCATCTTTATAGAAACAGAAAAAAATCACAAATGCACATGGTAAAGATTTCAAGCGTTTTTCTATATATCTGAATTAGTATTTTATCGCTTTTTTAGTTGTTCAACACATTCATAATATAGAGTAAGTAAATTTGTTGTTGTTTTTTGTAATTAAGTGTGTGTCTGTGTGGTTTTGTGGTTGAAATCGATTCTATCGATGTATTGAGCTGGAAGAGATTCTTACTCGCTCATGTATGGATAGGTTACATCGCGTAACGGAACAAATGTTTCTTTGATCGATTGTGGTGATGCCCATCGCAGGCAGTAGTGCGGGCCACCGGCTTTATCATTAGTACCTAAAAAAATGACATAACAAACGATTAAATCAAAAGAATTTTTTTTTTCGCAAAAATATTTTCATATACAATCAAGCAGGGAGAATGTTGATTCTTACCTGAATGACGGCCACCACCAAATGGTTGTTGGCCAACAACTGATCCGGTTGATTTATCATTGATATAGAAATTACCAGCAGTCATTTTCAATTCCTCAGCAGCTTCCTTCAAGAAAGATCTGTAATGCACAATATTTTTTTTTAATTAGCTGTTTAATGGTAATTACTTTATGTTTTTTTTTTTCAATAAAATCGAACAACATACTGGTCTTGTGCAAAAACTGCGCCAGTCAATGCAAATTTCGTGCTTGAACCGACAAGTTCAAGTGCTTGTTTCACATCTTTATCTTTGTACACATAAATGGTTAATACTGGGCCGAAAATCTCCTCAACCATGATTTTGTCATGTGGATCTTTGGTTTGAACGATTGTTGGTTGAATGAAATAACCTTTGCTATCGTTATAACTTCCGCCACCAATAACTTCCAAGTTCGAACTATTATTTGCATGATCGATGTATGATTTGATGCGAGCAAATGCCTTGTCATCAATTACAGCCGATGTAAATGATGAGAAATCGGTAACATCGCCAATTTTAAGGCTGTCACGCAATTCCAATAATTTTGGTTTAATCTGTGAATCGAATAAAATTTGGATTAATTTAATTTACATAAAATGGTGACTATTTTCATATACGTACAGCTGGCCAGAGTGATTCTGGGATATAGGCTCGTGAACATGCCGAACACTTTTGACCACAGTATTCGAATGCCGATCGGATTGTGGCCGTTGCCACCGTATCAACATCAGCCGTTGGATGAACAAAGTGATAATTTTTACCACCACATTCTCCAATCAAACGTGGGAAATTCACATAGTTTGTAATATTTTCACCAACTTGACGCCACAATCGTGCAAACGTTCTGCAAAACATTTTCAAATTTTTTAATTTATTTGTTGTTCTTTTTTTCTATAAGCAAACAGTTAATGATATTGATTTTACTTACGGTACGGATCCGGTAAAATTAATGCCGGCCAGGTATGGTGAAGCGGTGATTGTATCACCGAACACAGGACCATCAGCAGGAACAAAATTGACTACGCCTGGATACATATCGAGAATTATTAGAAATATTAATGGCAAGGCATAACACATGTGCTTGATGTTAGGTTTTCTATTACAGTACCTGGTGGAACACCGGCTTCTCGCATAATCTTGAATATTGTCCAATTTGATAGAATGGCTGTGTCGGATGGCTTCCACAGAACCGAGTTACCCTATTTTCATTCAAAATAGCATTATATTTAATTTTAGAGCGAAAAAGTCAACGAGTCAAAGATGCAATTCAATCTTACCATTAAAGCTGGAGTGTAGGCTAAATTGCCACCAATCGCAGTAAAATTGAATGGGCTGACAGCAGCAATGAAACCATCAATACCACGATAGCGCAATAGATTCTTGGTGACACTTGGATTTTCACTGATCGGTTGATATTTTAAATTATCTTTCAGATATGCCGTATTCATGCGAATAAAATCGATGAGTTCAGCGGCCGAATCAATTTCGGCCTGGATGGCCGTTTTCGATTGGCCAAGCATAGTGGCAGCATTTAAAGTTTGGCGATATTCGCCGGCCATTAGATCGGCAGCTCGATTCCAAATTTTAACACGTTCATCAAACGGTACACGATCCCATTTCTTTTGCGCTTCAACCGAAACATTGATGGCTTTTTGAATGAGCGATTGATCAGCATAGTAAAATGCGGCAATATTTTTCGAATGATCATGTGGCATCACTTGGCATCGCACTTGATTTGTACGAAACTCTTCGTTTCCAATAACAATTGGGATATCTTCACATGTGCTGGCCGTTTCTTTTAATTTTTTCTCCAATTGGGTACGTTCTGTTGAGCCCTTGCGATAGTCAAGTACCGGTTCATTGTATAGCTTAATGTCTGGAACATTTGGCAGTTGGACAACGGATTTCACCGAACATGCCTTCGATGTTGACAGGCAACGTGCCGAACTATTGGCAACATATCTACATTTCATTGAACCCAGAAATGATCGAAATAAATAAACAAAACAAAAACAATCAAGTTATTTATCAATCGGAATCAAAAATAAATACACACTATCTTATCAATCAGAATTAAAAAAAAAATTGCAATCACAAAATACATGGACCGAGAGATAAAAATTCTTTTCACCCAAGTTTGTTGCTTCTCTTGAGAAATGTAAAGGTCAATTATTTTGTTCATGACACTTTGCAGACTGCCGTTTCACAGTAAACAAGACAAATATAGATCGTTTAAAATATCAGCCAAAGCGAGAGAGAGAGAGAGAGAGAGAGAGAAAGAGAGAGACATCTGCTTTCCTGGGCAAAATCAACTGAATGGAAATGAACGAAATGTACACAAACGTATTTCATTATTTGTTTCGCTTGAATGTACCAAAATATCTGTCTTGTGATTATGTAACACCAGATTCAGTTGAATATGAAGCGAGAAACATATGACTCTTTTTGATATACCGAATACTAGATTCGTGACGCGCGACGAAACAAAAAGAAATCAAAATTTTTTGTTCACCGCATTTTTATTTTTATTGTTCATTGTACTCTCACATTTCCGTTGTAATGTGACAGTTTGATAAAATTTCAGTTATGATATTTGATACACACACCGCAAATTATTTGTGTAGTATCAGATGAATTTCTTGCCATACTGTGACCCGATTCTTTTTTTTTTTTTTTTTGAAATAGAAAAAAGAAATATGAATGATACTGACCTAAAACAATTGACTGGAAGTTTTGTTTGTCTCGTTAAGAATGACATTTTTTTTGTGTACTCTGTGTTCCACCAGACACTGTTAATTCACTGTTACACAAGTTCGCTTCTATGTTTCGCTTCTTCGGTCGAAATAGGTACGCTTCTTTCGTATTTTTATTTCCAATTAGAATGTTATCCAATCGGTTTACTCCACACTATGTTTTGGTTTCAACACGTAAGTTGTCCACTTGATGTTGATGATGTTGACGTATACTGTACGCACCCGTGGAAAGAGAAAAGAGAAAGAGAATAGAAATGAAAAATAGAATGCTTAAGAAACTCAATCGACTATCGTTGATCTCGATTCACGCAACTGATTTTTGTTACTATTTCTAACCGCACCGTGTGCGAATATGCACAAAAGGAAAAAGAAAAATTGCAAAATCGACTGTACTTTAATATTTTTGTTTATTTGAAAATGATAAAAAACGGCAATAACACCATCACGTATTTAATTAACTATTTTTATTGTTCTTCAATTCGTTTATTTGAGATAATTCTTATTTAGTTAAATTTCTTCACTGGCAAGATGTGTGAAATTCATTTTTATGACACATAGAATCGCTTCGTTCGGATTCGACTGAATGCCAAGCGAAAAAAAAATTATACACTGACTGAAGTGCTCGACTGAAGTCAAAAAATCAACAGAGAGGAGAAATAGAGAAAAAAAATGACAAGAGCAAACAAAAATAAAATCCAACTAAAGTGCAAAACAATACACAAAAAAATACACACAAAATTGGCGCAATAATTGTGTATCTTTTTGTTGCCGTATGAGGGGCCTGTATTTTATTATTGCGGTGCGCGCGATACGAAATCATGCCAACAACACAATAAAGACACACAAACACACACACACAAAATCTAGGTGTAATCCTAGTTCACTCTTCAGTTTTAAAATCATGGGTTAAATTTTTTTGTTGTAATCGGTCACTGAAAAATTTGCCAAATTCGAGAAAATTAGGTATTGTCGTCATCGGCACAAAATGCTAAATCAATGGCAATAACACGAACCATACACCTCAAAATCAATGTGTTTCTTCCGTATACATTCTATGTAAATTTATTTTTCGTGGTGCTTCGATTCTGACAATCCGCTTCGAGTGGAAAATTTTTGATGTCACACCGCTCGTGTTATTGTTTTCTCTCCTTTCTCTCTCTCTTTCTGCTTCTTTTACTTTTGAATGATGGTCAGTTTGGCACATTTACACTTGATATGACAATCTATTTAAATTTGGTCATGATTTGCAAGCGTACAACACACTCGTTTATATGTCAAACACCTTTTTTCTACCTATTTTCTTTTTTAATTAGTCTTTTGTGTTGTGCTACTTTTTCTAATTTGTTTGATATTCGTATCTGTTTTGCACAGAAAATTTGCAATTTTATTAGTTTTGTACTGAAATCGTGAATGGAATGGAATCTTTGTATATTTATCTTATTTACGTACGCTTTTTTAAAATTGATTTTATTTTTGTGGTCTTCAAACACAAATCACTTACAAAATTTGGCCAAGAAACGAAAACAAATGAAAAATATCTTCTTCTGTTTCGATACACGGTTTTTTTTCCTTCTCCTCGCGTTTTTTTATTACTCGTTCGATATCGAATGAAAAGATATCAGAATGATGTGTATGCGTGTTGAACGTTTCCACTACTCCGTATTCATGCCAAAGCACATGCGATTGTGTGAGTGTGTGTTCCGATGTTAGTTTCGAAACGAAAATCAGAATGAGATAGCGAGCTGTTTGCCGTACACCGTGTGGTTTACATACATTCACAAATTCTGCGCTCGCGCAAAATGGTCCATGTGAAAATACACCGTGGTCGGTTACATGAAATCAGCTGTACAATTTCGTTTCGAACGTACCTTTGTTTTTTTTTTACTTTGACAACCTTTTACCGATAATTTATCGGAATCATGTTTTTTTTTTTTTATGCAAAAATATGACAATAACGAATTTTAAACATTTAGATTCATATCAACACACTCATACATTTACAATTTATCATATAGAAATTTAACTGCTGTTCTCGATACTTCCATGCGAACTTGAATTGAGATATCATGGAAAATTAAAGATACAGAAAACACAAAGTTGGGATTAGCAATAAAATGATTAGTTAAATGGTTTTTTTCCCAAATACCAATTGTATAGATAATGGATATCGTAAAGTTATATGGAAACCATAAAGCATTTTTTTATATCATCCATCGAAATATAAATCAGTTTTTATTTGAAAATCAGAAAAATATGAAAACAAGAGAAAATACATTTTTGGACGCATTTTTTCAGTAGAACAATGTCAATAATGGTTTCACTTAGACATTATATTGAGATATTTTTAGCTAGCTCAGGCCCTGAGGGAACTTACGCCAGGCGCTGAAATGGAGTGAAAACAATAGAAGTGATCACACAATAAAATAGAGTTTTTATCAGTATAACAATCACTTCTATTGTTTTCACTCCATTTCAGCGCCTGACTTAAGATTTTGAGCTGAATCAGCTGCCTAAAAATATATCAATATAATGTCTGGTTTCACTATAAATTTAATCGATTCAAACCACTTTTGGTTATTTTTATGCAAATTTATTAATTTTTAATCGACTTTAACTGCTAAGATACTCGAATCCGAACTTCGACCGATTGTTATGGTCGGGCAGGCATCCGGGTCTCAGGCTAAAAGAAATAAATCCAAAAGAAGAAGTGAAAATAAAAAATTCTTTATTCTTATTCAAGAAAATTAATTCTTAAATTTATATTTTTACTTCTTTCAATCAAATTCCGAGTCCGACCAATACCGGTTACTTCTTGTCCGGGACTCGGTCGAACATCGATCGGGCGTCGGGTTCGGGAGCCCGTTCAGAACTCTCAATAGTTTTGAGTGTACGGTATTATGAGTATCGAAAAATGTGCCCTTTCTGAACTTACTTGTATCTTTCCTGAAATCCAAATAGATCGATAAATTTATTTATATTTTGCAAGTGCTTGCGGAAGCTATTTTATCGAGCATTTGGTAGATGTTTCGTTTTATTGTGCACCTAAATTGTCTGGTTTAGTGTGAACTTTTTGTTTGCTTACCGTTGTCTGATTTCAGATCGTCGATGAACTTTTAAAAGCTGCAAAATGTCACAATATAAATGATATCTAACAAAAAAGAATGAAAAGTCAGCAAAACGTCGTCGTTTTGAACAGAAGAAAAAAGAGCCACGATTTATAAGTTTTGAAATGACATTTATTTCGTCAAAAGCGATACAATGAAGTTTGTTTCAGGAGGTTTTTTTTAACAACAAATGCCAAATAAAAATGTTATACATTTTCTTTTCCAGGTAAAAGGAGGTACGTATGTAATTTTGATTGAATGATTTTAATCTAACAATACTAAATTGTTTAACCAAAATCGAATGTACAGTATTTCGTTCTAGGGGTATTGCGTGACAAATTCGCCGACAAATATTGCTGTATATGCATAATTGCTTCACAAATGTTGGCAAATATGACAATTTGATTCCATATACTCTTATCACCAGCTACAAATTATTTAAACATTTATAGAAGTTATTCGTTTTTTTTTAATTCGGTGAACGGTAAAAATGATAATTTCCAAAACTATATGGATCACATAATCTCATCTTCGTATCGATACTTGGTGGTATGTTTGTCTGAATGATAAGTATAGACACATTTTTTGGCTGGTATTTACCCCTAGATTTTGTCTTACAAATTTGAAACGAAAAAAAACCCTTGAACATTTCTTTTTTTGGATGTCATCCTATTAAATTGCTTTAGATTTTTGGTTACCGAATTCATTTGGAAAAGTGTTCATTAAAATCATTTTCTATCGTATTTTGTAGAATTTGGCGCATTTTCAGTCAAATGACATTATATCATAAATTCATTGAAAACGTTATTGATTGAATAACGATGTACTTTGGACTGCAATGAAAAAAAATCAGCACATCCATTGGAAATAGTTGCTTTTCGGTCGTCTTTAGAAACCGGGTCGATTTTTTTTTCAATTCGTAAAAACAATTGTAATTTTCAAGTTTGTGCTAAAATTTCAGCAGTCAATAAGAATAAAAATCAAAAAACTGAGTCAACAATAAATTCTTTCGTGTAAAAATGAAACGATTTGAGAACCATTTTTTTCGGTGTTTTGAATCGAGAAAAATATTTATCCAATCTGTCGTATTCAGCAGTTTGATCAAGAGTCTATTCGAGCGTCTCCCGATAAAGCATTCAAATATATCCAGAGTTTAATCGTTCGTTTTTTTTTCATAGAGATTGTCATTGAATCAGCCTTTTCTCTTGAATAAACACATTTTTTAAAAAATTGAATAAAAATATGTGATTGTATTACAAATGACGACATTTGATGGTATGATGAATATTCCGAGTTTGATGAAATTTTTCTTGGTTTATGTAATTTAAAGAATATGCGCGTTGAAAACGCTGAACACTAAACCGAAACACGTTATCATTTTTGCGTATGAGATCGTATCGATACAAATCTTCTTCAACTTTTTTTTTTTGCTTTTCAGGTTAAATATATTCCCTTTTTTGTGTATTTTGGAAGATTTGTCTTCAATTGTTTTCTTTTTCTGGAAGTGAGTGATTTTCATTTAAAAAAAAAAACACCAACAGTTTTCAACCTTTGGTTGTTATGGACTTTATGTGGTTTTTTATATTAAAATTTGCCATAAAAATTGGAATGATTTCGATAATGATGATGATGTTGACGCTTAAAATTGTGTGCTACGTTTTTCTTTTTGAAAATTCGACTTAAACAAAAGTGATGCAAAATATTATTTAAAAAGAAACTCGATAAAAATTACAAAAATTACGTTTATCGTTCTTGTTTGGGAGATTCCATGTTTAGTTCGGGGGTAACATATGCCGTTGACGATTCGTGATTCCTATGTGTTTTTTTTAATATTCTCTTGATTCAATAAATACTCATGCTAATAACATTCAAATAGATATTACTTTCTCTCTTTCTCTCTCGCTATTTCGGCTCCTTTTTCATTTCGGTATCGTATATATTGTTTTATGTGTTTTCTTTCTTTCATGATTGAATACATAGATGTGTTTCCATTGATTTATCATTATCATCACCACCATCATCATCATCATTTTCTCTTAATGACTAAATAGAGACTTTTTAATTATTTTTTTCTTCTTTTTTTCATCATTTAAATAGTCATTTAATAATAATAATAATAGAATCTTGCTTTTCGTATGATCGCCTATCCATGTAAATTGTTCACATTTCCATTTGTAAAACATTTTATGTTATTATTTCATTTATTTTTTAATTCATTTCATTTGTTTTTGTATGTTTCGATTGGTTTATCTACAACATATTAAATATCTGAACAATATATAATGTTATTTGGTGAGTGCACGGCGATATAATTTGAATGAATATATATATATATTGTAGTTTTTTTTTATTTGTTAGTGTATATGTTTTCGATTGAATTTTTTGTTATCTAAAATCTATCATATTTCTTGTGGGTTGTCTGAAATTCTTGTTTTTGTTGCAGTTAAAATATATAAAAATGCGCGACGCGATAAGCAAAACGATATTTTGAGTCTGATGTTCAATGAATAGGAAACCCTCATATCTTTGTATATTTGATAATTTTGGCAATTTGCTCGCCGGAAACCAAAGCAATTTGGATGTATTTCTTCGAAAAAATAATATTCGATAAATTTTGATTTAAAAACGTCTTGCTCTCTATATAACGGTGATGCGTCGATACAAATGAGCGTGAAACTCATGAGGCTCGAACTAGAAAATAAAAATTGATGGAAAACTAAAACAGAAAAAAAACTACTTGGAATTATTTATTTACATCGTGTTGGCTTGGCTTGGCCACAACGAGATAGCCGAATAAAAGAGAACACATATAACTTATAATCCGTTCATTATGCGTATCTTTCGTATGATTTTTTGTTTTGTTTTTTTGATTTGACTAAAATCTAATAACAACGAATTTCATTTAACAATTTAAAGAATAAAAACAAAAGAAAAACGATCATCTAATAATAATAAAATAAAAGTAGTTATAATATGCAATCCATTACAGGTGAACACCTTTCTCGCTTACTCTTTCTCAGCGACAAAACTTTGTTATACATCGAATCGACGATAATAAAAAGAGTAAGTTAGAAAGAATTGACGATTATTTTGATTTCATGTTTGTTTACAAGTTTATCGCCCTTAATCAGCGCTATACGCCAACCATAATTCAATTACATTTTATTTATTCGAAAAAAAATAAAATCATTTTTTTTCGCTCTCTATCGTACAACTTAGATTTTTATTTCACTAGATAAAGGTCAATTTGAGTGTTTTTGTTTGTTTTATTTTTCTGTTGAAGAACAAAAAATATTACGTGATCATTCATCACCTCACAACGCTTTTTTTTATCTAACAAATCACTATCGCAACCGAATGAAATTGTTTAATGCTTGAGCAGCAAATAGACAATAACATTCAGACAATTTGATATGCTCATTCAATTTTAAAATTACAGTATACAATAAGCACTAAAAACAGATCCAATTATATGCACCATTTGAATGCTGATATTGACTCTAATAAATTATCGAGAGAAAAAAAATGCATTCCTCTAATCTTTTACTCACTCTATTCATCTTTCAACTATCCTTTGTAATAAAGCTATGAATGTGTTTCCATCAATGGTTTTTTGTTTTCAATTCTTTGTTTCGTACTACGATTTAAATAGGTTGATTGGTCGAAATGTTTCGAAATTGAAATATTGTTATATGGACACGATCGAAACTATGTAAACGAACTATCGCTTGGTTGAGAATATGCCGTTTTCTTCCACTTCAAAATTAAAACACTCTCTGGTTAAAAATGCCCTGTTTATACGTAATTTTCTTTTAATTTAATGGTTTTGGTTCGTTTCCATCGTTTTGAATCACCATCCATACATTTCATTCAACGCTTTTTCCATGTTCTCTTGCTCGCTCCCTCTCTCTCTCTTTCTCTTTTCGTGCTTTTCATCACAAATAAACGAAACAATTTAAGCACAAATAAAGACAAGAAAACAATTATTATTTACTCTCTTGATTGGTTATAGTCTATGACTTTTTCAATTAGTTTTACGATACTGTGTTTTTTTTTAATCAAAAAAAGTCTAGGAAATAGTTTCTCGGTAGCGTTTTAAATTAAAAAGAAATGTGATTGCAATCTCGTGTTTATTGTTTGACTTGAGAATTGCTGCTGTTTACCGGACATCGAATCGGTGTTGTTGGCGTTGATTTTCTTAACGCTATTTGATAGGCCACTTCAAACGCTTGGCCCAACGTTAAAATTATTTCGGTTGCTAAATCCTATATGCAAACAAAAATAATAATAAAAACAAATGCAATTTACATCGAAAGAGTAAAAGGATGGATTCTTTTTAGTTACCATGCTAACGACATTAAATACATGACAATAGTGTGTATTATTGTCTGAATCTTTTGTGATATACGCAAAGTGGGAGAGATCATCGGCATCCTGACATGCACAGTTTATATTCCGTATTTCATGCTCGCAAATAGTGCCCTTGAAAATTATTTGAATTAAAAAAAATAACTCTATTTAGAATCCGCCTTCTAAAGAAACCATTTGCCAAAATCAATGAATTTCAATTTAAAAAATGCATTTAGTATTAGTACAACTTACTTTAGTTTGTGGATCGACAAATTGAACGCCACGATATGAAATATGAATGAAAACCGCTCGTTTGGTATTGTGATGTGTGTTACTTGGAAATGCAGAATTATTGCAAATTGCATTTATGCTTCCAATTTTTTCACTTTTTTTCAGTTTTTGAATCGATTTCTTTGTCGATTCTGTGCCACGCAGCTCTTTTATCACCGTCGAACCGAGATACTGGAATTGGGTATAAAATGAAAAATATTACAAAAAATCGAAATAATGACGGTGTAAAAATCAAATTTAAATTTGAAAAAATCAGTCCGTACATTCACTTCATACTTCACAGCGCCAGTAACGAGCACTTCGGCTGAATGACGCCATTGCGTACGCAAGCCAGTTGGAAAACTCAATAGCAATTCGGATGGTGCTCGAATTTCCAGATTCGACGTTGAATCAATCAGATTATTCAATTCGTTTTCATCAATGTTCTTTGGTTGTTGAGTTGGTGGTTTAGGTGCTTGTCGATTTTTTCGGTGGTTTGGTCGATTTTCAACGACACCCTCTTTGCTATCGTGTGACGATATCGATAGCGATGATCTCTGCGATGAGCTGCTTTTATTGGCGATATCCTAATTAAATAATAAAGAATGAGCCTTTTAAAAAACCTTTTTCCCTATAAAGTGAAACAAAATCGCTTACGTTCGTTGACTTGGCAAGCTTTTCAAATGATTTCGCAATGTTTTTGGGTGGCGTAGCACCAACGGAATATAATATTCGTTTTCGGTGTCCAATCTTATTGATTTCAAGCACTGCTTGTAGTTCAATTTCCCAAATGCGACTTATGCGTTCCATATCGGTGTACAAATGTTTTCTGAGATAAGAATGAATAATTTTTTTTTTAAATAAATAAAACGCTCTCCCAAAAGAAATTCAAGCTAAGGCTTTCAAACTAGTTACCTAAAAATTTCTGCATAATATGAGAGTCGAATGCTTGCAAGCCAATCGTTTACGCTTAACGTACCATTTGTTTCATCACTGTTTAAACCTTTTTGTTTTGGAATTGTACTGTAGCTGTTGTTGTTGTTGTGGTTAAATGTACTGCCAATATCATTGCAAATGGAATTTGATTGTTTGTCATGATTTGTCTCCATTGAATGGTATGCATTGGTTTTCGGTTCGTCTAATAATTTATTGAATGAGGTTATGGCTCTAGCCGGTTTCTGCAGATCGTTCTCAATAGCTGTGATCAGTTTTTTTCTTAACTCTGGTTTAACGTCCAACGTTTCAAGATCACTTTCGTCCAGAATGCCTTTGATAAAATCAATATCATCATATCCATTATCGTACAGTATGTTGCTCAATTCATCCAAATCATTATCGTAAAGGAAATTCATAAGTTGACTATGTGGCGATTGTGATCCAGATCGTCTTTGTACATTGCTGTTCATTGATTCGGAACTTTTCATCGCCTTACGATGTCGATCGATTTCGCTGAGTGTAAAACCGGCTATACTATTACTGCGACCATTTTCCGCACGATTTTGATAATCACGTCGCCGGTTAGCATTGTTTGTATTTGATTCATTCATTAAATCGGATCCAAAATTTGCCATTATTTCGGTAATTTTTTTCCATTCTTCTTGCTCATCAAAATGAATACTCTTATCACTACTTCCACTGCTGAGTTTTTGCAGTAGAACGGTCGCATTTGGCACGGATAATCGGGAATTCACTGAACTTCGTACATTCTCCGTACGTAATTCGTCTTCAGATACGGGCGTTTTCACCTGATTACTGTTTATTGGCGATTGTGATAATGTTGTCGAATTGTTGAACGCATGCAATGATGCCTGTGTGTCGAGTGTTTTTGGCCGTTCAGGCCGATGATGGTATTGTGATGTTGACTTTGGCAAATTTTGAGATTGTAACAATTTTTCCTTTTGTAATTGCACATCGGATACTTGTTGATGTTTTGCTAAATTATTTCTATTGGAATAATTGTCAACCCAGAGAATTAATAATTCAATGCAGTCTCAGTTAAAACTCAAATCATACTTACTGATAGGATCTAATGTGTTGTTGCTGCTGTTGTTGTTGATGTGGTTTCTCGGAGGCCATCGATTGATAATACTTGTAATCCGAATTACTCGTGCCATAAGTAATCAAATTCGGATTATCTAAAGTCATTGTGGAACCTTTGAACAAACCTGTGCCAAAAATGATGCACACAACAAAAATTCAAAATCAGTTAAAATTGTAAACTCACGGCAATGAGGAAAAAAAACGTAATAATAATAACAACAATCACTGCAATTCAAGTGTAAAACTGAAATTAAAAACGTGTCGAACACACAGAGAAAGAAATAAAAAAAAAACAAATGAAAATGAGTTAACTGCAATGAATTTCACCGAATTCGTTTGTTTTGCTTGTAAAAACTCAATGTGATTCTCACGAAACGCAACGAAAATAACCAGAAATACACGCGTTAAAAACAAAAATAAACAAATAAAACAGCCTACAAACACAATACCATTCAAAATGGAAACACACGAAAAAAAAATCGAATATAGAAACGATTGTTCGCACAATTTTGCACAGATTTTTATTTTATTTAATTTTACTTTTTTCGTTTATTTTTTCGTTCAAGCAAATTTGGCAATTGACCAACTTATTTGCATCAATTCAGTCGACGGCTGAAGATAAATTTGGACATTTAAGGGGGTGTTTAGACGAAATAGATACGGACAATACCAGCACATAATGATCACACGCACACAATATCTCTTTAGATTTCTATTATTTTTTTTTTATTTTATTGTTCGTTATACCACCAATGCGATGCCGTTGTTTCAATTGGATACGCATTTCAGGAATGTCACAAAGCCTGTATAGACACAAGCAATTACCGAATCACAGATTGAAAATGAGCCGAATTATATGTGATGATGAAATTGTAATGAATGTATAAAACAGAAAGCGCAAGTTTCGTGGTTTACTGACCTCACTGTACTTCCTCAGATTACTCTCGACTCAATCGGCTTCAACTCTTTCTCTCGATTAATTCGATTGTTCTACACATTTAACGCATAATTGCTTATTGGTTTTTATTGGCGATTTGCTTATGTAGCAAGTACTCGTCGCGTTTTTTTGCAGCAACATCTCAACTATCCGTCGATAAGAATGCTCAATTCCGAATATATAAACAGGCGCTCAATTAATATGCATAAAACGTAGTATCTAATTTAGTGTATGCATGCACAAACATTTAACAAGCAGACAACACTACAGATTGACAGAGCCGAGTAAGAATGAATAAGTGTTTGTTGTTTCTTTTATTTGTCGTATGTGCCTTTTATTTTATTCTTTCGTTCGCTGTCTCTTTCTCTTTCTTTCTTTTTTTTTTTTTGAATTTGTCAGCGCCAACTTTTTTTCTACTTATTTCGGTCGTCTCTTGATTGATATATCATTTGTTTTGGTTTTTACTATACAGTTTGTGTCTATGCTGCGATTTGGTTAATGATCGTGTGTTGACAGATCGTTTGTATGTGATTGTATGTGCGTGTATGTATGTATTTGTGTGTGTATTGGAATGAATTGTTTGTTTTTCAATTAACTTGCCCATACTGCATCTACTACGCTATTTTCTGAGTGATAGGCTCTTTGGAAATGTCAAACTTGTTTTATTGAAATGTGGGAAAATGGCGAACTTTTCAAATTCTTTTAATATTGAAGTGATAAGTTAGTAAAATGAATTGAATTAAACAAACAATAATCAACATGAAATAAATGCACACAATTAAAACAACAAAAAACCATTTTTAAAAACATGTTTTTGATACATCTAAAATGATTTTACCAGCAAATGGAACATCGGTAACATATTCAACACAATCGGTCGATGCGGAGCGATCGGATGATACGGAACTAAGCGATCCACTAGATGCATTTAATGAATGTGATACTATGACATCAGATGAGCATGGTGATAAACTACTATCTCGATTATTTGAAATTCGATGGCGTGATCGATTTGAATATTGAATTGGTGGCGGTGGTACTATATTCTCCTGATACGAATGACGATGGTGATGTTGTTTTTGTTGTTGTTGATGATGATTGATCGATTGCTTCGAGGGCTGCGGTGCACTTTGACGTTTCTCACGCTTTTCACTATTCACTCTTCAGTCAAAATATCAATTACGCGCGTACCGAAAATCAAAGAAACAATACACAACAAAAATGTTTATTCATTTACAATTCACAACCGAATATTGACTCAATTTGGCAGACACAAAAACCCAAAGATTTTTTTCTTTCTTTCATTTTTTGCGTGAAAATGGATTTTAGAATGATCTTATGAAATTCACTTATTTTCAGTCCAATCGTCGAATGAATTTAGTATTCTCACCTGTGTCGATTCTCATAACCACCAAATGTAGCCGTACCATTTTGTGAGTTACGGATATACTCAAGCATAGCCATCGATCTCCGATACTCCTGTGGAAATATTTAATTGCCATTTTCAAAATATTTCATTCGTCAATTGCCCAGAACAAATAGATGAAGCAGAAAATAAAAACAATGTATCCAACTCATTCATCAAAATGAAGCAAAATATAAATCGAAAACGATACAAATATAAAAGTGTTTGCAAGCAGCGTTCGCCAATAAATAAATCGAAAAATAATAATAATAAAAGTTTTTTTTCTGTTGTTTTTTATTAATATATCGCACAAAAAAAAAAATTAATATACATATTGAAATGGCCATAAAATTTATTAGCTAAAAAAAACAAGATGTCTTGTGCAAAAAGGGGAGTGTACATAATTTTCAAACAAACAAAATATTCCATTAAAATCAGAACAAAATGGAAATAAAAAATGTGATGCCTTTTCCTATACAAATGGGAAAAACAAATCAAATAAATTTTACGAAATAAATAATAAACATTTTCCATATCGAAGAATAAATACTTTCTTGCAATACATTTTCAATAAATATAAAAAATTTTAATATATATATAGTATGCATGTTTCAGGCGGGAAAATATTGATGAAATATGTATATATTAGATTAAAATAACAAAGGAATATTGCATTAAATTTGAAATTATTCACAATAAGAATAAAAACAAAATGAGATAAATTGCCACATTTGATATGTCATTCATACTTTGATTAAAAAAAAATATATTTTTTGCTATCAATCTTTAGCGATTCAATTAGGCAAAAAAAAAATAAAATTCTTAGTTCAACTAATTTTGATTAGCTTTGGCAACAAGAAATGTGCTATGATTGTGCTTTACTCCAAAGAAATATAGATATTCTTATCTTAAAGAGAATCTTTGCTTAGTGGCTCATTCATATTGAGTGTCTTTGCATAAAAATTATCACACATACGATTTTTCTTTAAAAAAAACCAAAAACCAGACATTTTATCGAGCTGAGCTCTGCCATTGTTTTATTTGGATAATATCAGATGCAGACACACATTGTTACACAAGATTTTTGGTGCAACGATATTATTGAGGGCAGATTTTTTCTTTTGCGGAAATACAAATGCGATTAGCTCAGTACAATATCTGGTGCCGACCCATTTCTACCCAAAATCCACTATTGGCAGATTCACCAATTTATGTAATGTTTTATTGTCATTTACTCAATTTAAAAATCTTTTTGGCACAAAATTCTTTCCACTTGATTTGTGATGTTTTTTTAAATGAAATTCATTTCAAATGGCCCATTTGAAATGGGACATTAAGAGAGACAAAAATCTAATTTAAAACCATCAAATTATTCTTTTTGGAACATTGAATAGATTCGATCATCATGGAAAATTTAACTTTGTTTATTTTTCGCAATTTTGATGGATTAATTGTTGAATCTCTCTTAATCACACAACTGTAAATTATGGACAATTATGTACATAAACTGGATAAGTTAGTTAAAAGCTGTGTGATGATTTTGGTTTGAAATGGATCGACATCATATTAAATATGAATATAAATGAATCAGTATAATAATAATAGTAAATCAGTAAGTTACTAAAATTTATTAAATTTAATTAAGATGATAATTGATGAAATAAATTATCTAAATTGATGAAATCGTAGATTTTTTTTGTTGTAGTTTCGATTTTGCATACATAGAAACTATTATTTTGAATAAATGACTATGTTGATTAATGTAAATTGAAAATGCAAACAATATGAATAAATTAAATATTATAAATTTGAAGAAAAAAAAAACATAACGCATAAAATAGAAACATTTAAATACAATGTTCTGTAGCGAGATATATAGCAATTTTGTGTGTGTGTGTCTTTTTTGTTTGTTTCAATATTCACCCACCTGACTTAATGGTCGGATGCGGTCGAAAATGACTTTTTCAGCGGTTTGTGGATTTGGTGGTGGATGATCAGGTGTCGGAGGTTGTCTATAGTTAGACGGTGACATTGGTGTGTCGTTGCTGTTGCCATAACTGTTACGTGACCCACTTTATGTCGTTGACACACAAATTTACGTCGAAGTTCACGGTTCATTTTTTTTGTCCAAAACGCAAAATACAAAAAAATTATGAATAACATTAGATTTATATGAATGAATAAAATAAAATCATTTGACTATACTTTTGACTATAATCGTAGTTATCACGGATGCGTCGTAATTTTCGATTTGGATTGTACGAACGAAGTGGTGCAGCTGTTATTGGTTCTCCATCCTCTAAATTACCACCCGTTTTTATTAAATGCTCGCTCATTTGCTTAAGTACGGCTTCGTGTTTCTCTTTTGCTGCTGGACTCATCATTTTCACATAATTTTGGCATTGATCCACACTGGCTGCTTTATTTATCGACGATTTTTTGTCACCGCTTTGTGCCAAATATAGATACTCATATGGAGACGTTTGACTACTACTACCGCTCATATTACTTCGCGCTGACACCAGCGATTTCGATGTGCTCGGCGAAATCGATAAATTTCGTCGAGGCGGTTTTTTTGGCGGCGTCGGCTATAATTTTTGTTTTTGTTTTTTGGTTAGGATTGCATGTCAAAAGATAATTTCAAATTAGTATGGTGTTATTTTGGTTGTATACAGTTATGCTGTTGAAATGAATAGTGACAGTTTTTAGTATGACACTCACCGATACTTTTGAGTTACTATTTAATGGTGTCATTGTCACATAAAAACCACCATTATTATCGCCACCGGCACGTATTCGGGGCGAAGCCGGATCCAAACTTCCCACTGACGATGAAGGACTCTCTAGCATACTACTCGCATCATTACTGTTACCACAATGAATGTGAAAAAGCAAGGGCATAAAAATTATTCAGTAATGGATTTGAGTGTAATTTTTCTACACCCGGAAATATCAATTAGAATTTAATTCACCTGTACGAACTCCATGCGTGACTTTCTCGAGTGCCTCTTGAATGGTATGACTGGTCATCATAGTAGCTTTCACGTGACGGTATATTTCGAGACACTTTCAAAATATCTTCTTGTTCACTACTACTCAATGCAAGTGAATTTTGGTAATCTAAATGAAAATATCGAAAATTCGAGTAATTTTGTAAGAAAAAAAAATCGAAGCAAAGACAAACTCTTCTCAATCATATTTATACATACTGTTAATGACCGCCACAATTCCACGAGTAACATGTGGTGGAAATTGTTTCAATAGGTCAAGTGCCGTTCTACCTTCACTATCAGTCACATCTAAGTCAGCTCCAAATTCGAGTAGAGTTTTCACAACCGAGTCTTTGCCATGCAATGCGCTTTCATGTAGTGCAGTCCCAGCTCCAGTTAAGATGTTTACATCGACACCGGCCGCCAGAAGTACTTCAACAACATGCTTATGACCATTTCGACTGGCCAAATGTAATGGTGTATGTGTATATATGCTACGTTTCTTATCATAATGTTTTTTATATGGATGAATTAGTTCGGGATGGGCACGAACAAGCATTTGAACAACTTGTAATCGTCCATATTGTGCTGCCAGGTCTAATGGTTTTTCACCACGACAATTCATCATATTTGGATTAGCACCATGTGCTAATAAAGTTGTCAACGCTCCTGTGTGCCCATGTTGTGCAGCGCAATGCAATGGTGTCTCATTATCGATGGTCTATAATGACCCATAAATAAGCCAATAAATTCAATATTTGTATCAATAACAACAACAAATAATGAACAGTATTCGTATTAAAAAAAGAAAGAATGAAAAATTGAATTTACTTGTAAATTCGGATTGGCTGGTCGATTTGCTTGGGTGAGCAATAGTTTCACAATGTCTTGATGTCCAGCCCATGCCGCAAGATGCAGTGGTGACGAACCGCGACTATCTGGCAAATTGGCAGAGGCTTCATGCATTAATAGTAAACGAACGCATTCAGCGTGACCATTTAGTGCTGAATAGTGTAACGCTGAATATCCGGCGCTATCTTGTATATTGGCGCCAGGCCCTCGTCTCAGACTAAAAAATTTAAAACAAAACAACAAATGTAGTGATAATCCGAATGAGCAGACAAAGCGATAAAAATAGAGAAATCCATAACCATTGTCAACGTAAAACCGTCACATTTTGTGGTGTAGACGTTATGTTTTGAATTTTGACATTGATGTTGTGAGGCATACATGCGGGCAAAGGAATGTTGAATTCACTCAAAACACGGAAGTATGATATACGCACATGTAAGTAAGCGATAAAAGGAAATTTTTTACAGAGCTAAATGAAAAGAAGTGCTGTACTGTGCAATCGTGACCATGCGTACTCATACAGTGTGCCCTTTATAGTGTGTGAGACAGAAACTCAGAACAACTGAGCGAAGAAACCATAGAACCTTAATAGTCCAACAAAAACATTCAATGCAATACACTCACACTCTCCCTTGCTCGCATATACACATACGCACACCAACACCAATGTTACCAACAAAAATACAACAACAAAAATACAACAACAAAAAACATGTAAAGCACACATATTTTTCCATATAACTTACCTAGCCAATGGACCACTCCTTTTACCTCTTTGGTTGAGGATTTTTTCGATTAATGTTATGTTCCCATTTCGAGCTGCTTCTAAAAGTTCTTGGTCTTTCCCCATTTTTCCATGCACAATTTTCGAATTGTAAAATCATATACACACGATATACAGTTTGAAAATGCAATTGCAAATGTGATGGGGTGACACTTTTCAGGCAGCTCAGAGCCGCGACGAACAACCTTCAATAAGATTTGCTTTGTTTCTCGTTCTCACCGTTTTTCTTTTATTGTTATTTTTGCTGTACAGAAACCACAGAAAAGAGATTCAAATTATAACTTACACGGATTTGAAAATAGTACAATGAAAACAATAGAACTGATTTTTCTCGTTTTTTATACCAAGTAACTGATTCCAATCGTAAATATTTCAATATATACTAAATGATCTCACTATTTACACACATCAATCACTACTGTTTAATTTCGATGTTTTTCCCCCCTTTGGATTGTTAATATGCTTCGAGTATCTTGTGTCGTCAATTGATCGTGCAACAGAAATGTTGTTATTTGTTTACGTTTTTTCATTTGAAACGGTTTGAATGAGACAACAAATTACATAATTCAATGATTAGGAAATTGTAATTAAACGAGTTCTTGCATATTATATGCAGCATATATGCGCATGCAAATGGAATTGCAAGCCTTCAGCATTCAACAAAAGTTAAAGAAACAATACGAATACTCAATCGATATGCGATTGTAGTACATTTATAATCATAGAAAGCACTCAAAAAATCGGTATGGTTAACATCACATCTTGACCGTCGTTATTCTTTGCCACATCAATTTAAACCAATTGAACTCTATTTCGGTCGAGAAAAAAAACCAACAACAAAACCAAAGAAGATCTCACATCGATTATTACAATTTGCACTAAAACAGCTACAACAAAATCATCACAAAACATAAAATCACTTCATTCTATCATTACCAGCACTTTCTTCATCTTTTTTCTTCACAAAGACTGTTGGTTTTCGTTGTTCCCTGCCTACTTAGTGGAATCTAGTTCAAACTATATTCTGACCGATTGTGAACACTCGATGAACTTTAGTCACGATCAAACGAATACAATATTTATTTCGTTTATCAATAACCTATAGCCATAACACAGAAACAATGGCAATCGCGCATATTTACCTTTTTTTTTCTCTTGCCTAGATGTTATTGTCGTCAATATAATGAAGAAATAAAGAAAAAAAAATGAAGAAAGAGAGAGACAGTGAAAAAAAACAACAACAAAGAATCCACACACACAATCTGTAGTCAAAAACGCAACGACACACAAAAACAATGAATAAAACCCCAAACCGAAAATCAAATCTCTTTAAGAAATCGAACAAAAATTTTCTTTACTTAAAAACACACTAACGTTTCGTTTTGTTTTCGATTCGCGTGTCAAAAATACCAACAATTTTGCGAATTTCGATGTGAATCCATCGTTTTTGTCACTTACAGCTGAAAAGTGTGTGTTGTGTGTAAGAAAATTTACTATTTTTGCGTGCTCGTTTACGATTCCACTGACATTTCGAAATGTTTTAGTTGTGTTGTACTGAACACATACACACACATGCACACACCAATAAACGTTCGTGTGCGACAGAACTAGATCTCATTAGTACAGTGCATAGCAATGTGTACATAGACGTGTACAATTGACGTTTTGTTGGTGTGGTAAATGTGTGTTTTTTTACGATGCGCAAGAAAGAGACAAGCATTATAGACTCCACCAACGAACGTTCTTTTGACCATAAAATGAGTTTGAAACGTTCTTCTTGTGCTATATTATTGTCCTCTACGCCTTACAACGGGACTCGATATCAAATTGTGGACACATACATACGACCAGAACACACATACATGAGGAGAACTCTCTGTACTCCATTCAAATAGTTTGTTCAAATATTGCGCTCAAAATCAAGGCACAGCACCAACAGAAAATTCATCGATTTCAGTATATTCATAGGGAGCAATTTTTTTTTTGGAAAACGATTTCTGTTTCAAATGGAACATGAATTAAATGTGTTACAGATTCCAATGTAACTCTTTTTATTTACTTCATATTAAAAATATTTCTGCAACCCAGATTATTTCATTTTACCTTCTGAATGAAAATAATTTCGAATCAAATATGTTTTCCTCTTTTTTACTTCATTTGTGACGTTGAAAATGACCAACTGGGATTGAAATCATTCAAAGTTGATTTGCTTGATTTGTCAGTCGATTGCAGTAGAGAAAAAAAATTACTCAAATCAACTTCGATTGGCTATGTCCGTCTAGCGTACCAAACTAGGTACCAAATTAGTCGTCTGTTTAAAATCAGAAAAATAGACGACTAAAGTCGACTGGGTAGATGGTTTTAGTTAACAAAATTCATTTTCAGTTGATTGCAGCTAGTCCGACACTTTTTTTCCACATGGGAATGTGGAAATTCTAAATTCATAGATAAAGAGTAAATTTCTCATCATTTTAACCAAAGAGATCCAAGTTGATAGATCAAAATGAAACTATCGAGTTGAAATAGCATACACAACGCCTATTATATAAATCATTCAGCGGATATTTTTTTTAATCAAAATAAAAACAAAAACCTACGACAACTGATTAGAGGTCATCATACCTTGTGTTTATTTTCATCAAATAAATACTAATACCCTTCGTATAATATATGTTCTCAACTTGTTTTTATACTCTGTCACGCTATTTATACAGATTGTGAGAATCGTTTTTTTTATCTGAGTTTGTTTTCAACCGTTCTCCTTGTACACCTTAGTAAACATTTCACGCAAGAAATATGCAAAAAGATTTCTAAAAAAATTCAATTTTAAATTGATTGTTTTCATTTGACAATTACTGAAACAGGGATGTTTATTAGATTTGTTTTATAAAACCAACAAAAAATTTATGCAAAACAAAAATATTTGGTTTTGGAATAACGTTTCTTTTAACTTCCAAACGTTCATTTCAAACGTACATTCCCTTAAAACGGTAACCGTCATTGGTGCTTTCGAAGCTTTTCATACAGTATGAAGCTTTTGTTGAATTCAAAATTATATGTGGACGTTCTTATTTGAATCTGTTTGTTTGTCAAGTAAAAAGTTTCATTCTTAAGTGGAAGTTTATAGGTTAGTATTTGACATTTGACAAAAAGCATTCCTTTTGCATTTGAATATGAGAAAATATTATGGATTTTTTCTAACGATACATCTTGATAGCAGAAGCAAATGCAAGAGGCTAATTTCGATTAAACAAAATGAAATTGTATGGAAAATAAATTGAAATTGAAAATGGACTCAACGATAAACTGGATTAAGAATCTATAAATAGTTAAAAAAAATTGTATCAAACTCAGCGAACAGGACAATGATTATAGTCAATTGGATCATAGCAAAAGGTAAAACTCCATTAAGCGTGTGTAACTAACATGAACAGCTGTTTCGATTAAATTTCCCGCGTTTTCTTTGCTGTTTCATCATTTTGAACCTTACGGCCCTTTTACCTTTTGTAGCCATTCACACGTACAACCATTTCTTACGCATATGCAATGAAAAGAGCACCCTCTTTTCAACTAATTCATGTACAAACAGGCAAAATGAATCGAATATATATACACATTTCTCCCCAATGCTTTAATTCTCATCGCTCGATAATTCGATTATTTTCCATTAAGTCTTGTCTATTGCAAAATTCGCATTCGATTCTCTGTGATTGAAGATTTACGATGGATTCATTTCAAACTTGGTCTCATCCATTCTTTCGTTATTGAAACACACAATTTTTAACATTTCATCAAAAAATAAAACTGACAATACTTAGATTGAGATGGCTATACCTAAGGATAATAGTTTCAAAGGGAGTGTGTATGATCAGCGTTTTAAATCAAGTTTTGATATTTTCATTGCGAGGAAATGCTCTACCAAAATATGTAAATCATCGTAAAAGATACGATACGAATTGGTCGGCAACGATAAATATATACACACTCGAAAACATTTACAAATGCAAATATATTGCTCGTTAGCAATAAGAGAATAAATTTGAAAATATTGTATCTTTGTTCAAGATTTACGATAACTTTGTAAAATCTTAACATTTTTTTTCAAAATCTATCCGAAATGCAGTCTTTCTTTTTTCTTCATCATAATAAAATTGTAGATTTATTGAAAAATAAGCAAAGAAAATTAAAGAAACAAAAATAAAACTCAACTCGAAAAAATCATCTCGAATTCATAACTCAAATCGACTCAAATGTCTCATCAAATGTCTACATTAGTCTAAAAAAAAGAGATACAATTCTTATAAATTTAATTGCTTCATAATTATTACATAATAGCTAAATGCGAATGTAATAATTTGCCAATTTTATGATACAATAATTCAGCTGTGGAATTTCGTTTAAATAAAAATGTGAGTATAAATCGAAATAGTCAAGCAAGTGTTGAGATGACGTTTTTGGCGCCATAATCTCCATTGTCTTAATTTTATCTCTTAAAATTCTTTGACCAATGACAAAACGATCAAAATGCAAATGTTTTAAAATGAAGCAATAACAATTGATTCAATATAATATTAGAAATAGAAGAAAGCATAGAGGAAACCATCTGTCCATTATTAATATAAAAAAAATGTAAGTATTAAGGAGTAAAATCGTGCAGACATTTAATTAACAACGGATGGTTTTTTTTCTCTCGTCTTTTTTTTTTCATTTTCTGTTGTTATCTGCTCCTTTTTTTATTTGTTTGCTACAATGGGGCATTCATCGCATATGCGCGTGTACACATTCATAGGTGAGCCGAGTGCGATCACATTAAGTTAATCTATTTGAAAGGACTCCGATGATGATGATGATGATGATGGCAAAGCATGTGCGTGTCTGTCAGCTGTGCCATAAAAAGGAAGACGATCACATTGAATTGTAAGACACACAGAATAAACACCAATTCAAATTATGAAATGAAGAAAAATTGTCAGCACAGAATGTATGAGAATTTAAACAAAAAGAACATGATTTTTTTGATCAAATTATCATTGTGTGCGTTTGTTTGAGGTTCGATTAAAACGAAGAGACATCGAGATTGAGTGAATGACTTAGTTTTTGAAGGTAAATGACAACAAAAAGTCTTTGGCAATAAATTCCATCAGTTGTCGAGAAGTTGAAAGGAAAAGGACCTCGGATGTGTAGCATATAAAATGGAACGAATTTATAAAGACAAATGAGATACAGCCGAAGCTGAAATACTGAACGAATGAAAAGCCACAGAGAGAAAGAGAAAGCGAGAAAGAAACACGATGTGTACATGGGTGAAAGAGAAAGAGAAAAGGAAGAATGATCGAAGGAAAAAGGCAACGACATAAACATAATACACACACTCTTACATGCACATCGAGAGAAAGAATCGAAGCAATGAACTTATATGCACACAGTTGTTTGTCGGTAGACACAACATCAGCAGCTGCTACTTCTGCGCAACTGCACAAGATGGTCTTTTGTATTTCTCAACAAAATAACACACGATCACACATCTACTTTTAACTATAAATGCACCGTATGTGCGTTGTTGCCGTTGCTGTTGTTGTTTTGCTTGGGCTTTATATCGTTCACGGTGCTCACTAACCACTGGAATTTTGAAATGTGCGTGTTGTGTTCCTTGTTTCATTTTATATGGATTGGTGTGGCCCATTGGAATCACTTGAATAAATATACGGCATACATGGATCATACTCTAGACGCATTCCGTATAAACGAAGACATCATCGTTTAGCCTGCAAATCGAATCCCATCAATCCAGACATTGCACGTATACAAACTCTGATGGCTGATTCTAGTTAAAATGACAGAAGAATGGAGTGAAAAGAAGAAGGGGAGGACAACGAATAATAAAAAAAAAACCGAACGATATACACAGTGTATGTTGATAAAAGAAAGCAGCTGACACACTCATAAGACGTTGTGCAATTAAATGTCACATACAAAAGAACTTTAAATATAAACACGGCGTCTGAATTGCAGGGACTCTTAAAGAGATCGTTTCATTGCAAGCGACCAACGAATATATGCGAACGACAACAAAAAATCGAATAAAATGAAAAAGAAGAAGAAGAAGTCGAAGAGAGCAGACCAGGGAAAAATGACATATTAATCGAAAGGAAGCCAAAATATGAATTGTCAATAGATACCAATGCTAAGGAAGGTAATATATTGCATGTCGTATCGTTCAATTCAACGACAAGAATGCTGCTCATGTTTGGCATAAGATCGTTCACTGTTTTGCGAATAAAAAAAAAAGTGTATTGGCCTTTCGTGCTTGGTCATATAGGCCACAAACGCTTTTCGACGAGAGCGATTGTTACATGTTTTCTTTGGTTACGTTCGCTTTCATTTTATATGTTTGCGCACCTTTTGCATTTGATAGTGAGAGATCTCTCGAAACAAATGAGATGATGATGATGCGGACAAAAAAATGAAACAACGACGCATA